TATGCACTCAAATGTCTCATGGTTAATAGCTGTAGCTACTTATAGTCTTTGTGACTTCATATGTAAATGAGTCACCTCAACCTCTGACTGCCAAACCACAGAGAAGGCAATGGGAAACCACTCCAATGTATTACCAAGAAGTCATATAAATTCACAGATATTAAGAAAGAAGCTTTGGAGACTCTTAATTGCCTCCTTCTTGAAGAGATATTGCATTTAAAAAACAGATATATGTCTAGAAAGACACCTTTTGCAGTCAGATGGAAAAATCTTTCACATAAAAATCTAATTACACATAGACACAATTTAAGAATTAACTTTGTTTTTACTTATTGATCACCCAAGCCTCAAGAGACACTAAAGTTAGAGGATTGCTGCATGAGATTGTTGCATGAATATAGGAGGAGGAGTTAAGAAGTGGAGATTATAAGAATATATAGGGAGAATAATGGTTGACTCTAGACATGAAAAGGTTAAGATTGTAGCAATCAGAGAAGCATTCATTTGGAAGTCTGTTTCATGAAATAGCATTTCTTGGGAAGAAGCCATCCAAATGGAATTTTCTTCGTATTAGTGGAATATGACAAGAATATAGTTGATTTGAATCACAATATGTGGCATATTGGGTCTCAGCTATAAAAGTCTGAACTGGTGGAATGAAGCAATTTCATTCATCAAAACATTTGTCATGCAAATAGTAACAGAGTAGTGAGAATATTGTGAAATTTCATCTATGGAGAAAAGGGTTGTAGGATGGGAAGTAATTCATCACCCACAATGTCACATAAAAACCTTTGAAGGCATGAAAGTAATAAATGGACAGCTTAAGCCATTTTTGGTCAAATTTGACTCTTGTGAAAATAGAACTTGGCAGCAGGAGTCATGGTCTGAATAAATCAACAGTAGAATTGTCCGAATCATATAACAGCATGGGATAATCGTCCATCCCACAAAATGTTTACTATCTAAAAAAAAACAGTAAACTGAGTTTCTTTTTTTCCAGATTTTCAGATAAGATGTTTAGCCATCTTGACACCATTTGTCATAAAAATCACAGAAAAACCCTTTGAGTTATTCAGCTAGAAAGAGAACGTGTTAAATTTTTGTGTCAGACCCACCATGTCTTCCCAAATGAACAATGTTGAAAGGAAAAAGATCACTCAGGCTTTCAGTAAAGGTACCAACATTCATACTTAGGCTTCCATATTCAAAGCCCATTCAAGAACTATCAAGAGAATGATGAATACGTTTAAAAGAGAGGGAACAGTAGAGAGGAAAACTGGATCAGGAGATCAGAACAAGAAGAGGGATCATCATTTCAACTTAGAGCTAAAGATATTAAAGTCCAATAGAGTTATAAAAACCTCAGATAATTCCAGTAAGACATCTTTAATCATTTCAGAGTTTAATCCAACAATTGAACAATTTTGCTGTTACACAATTTATCATCATACACAAGATGTATTAATTTCATCAGCCTACCTTCTGTAAGTAATGGTTTATAGGGGAATATTTCTCTCCTGAGGGTAAAAATTAAGTTTCAGTTCCAAAAAGTATTTTATTCTCTCTGTGTGTGCTGTGTCACTTCCAAATGTAACTGATCATGGCTCTCCACAATTTTCCTTCTTTCTTGTTGCTCTCATCAATCCTTCCTTCCATATGACATTGCATTCAATTTGTAAGATTTGTTGTTTCTCCATTTGCACAAAACTTATGAAATGCCTTACACACTGTTTTTATTCTGCTTCTCCTGTCTTCAATGTATCATATGAGTGTTAAATTCACCAAGCCTCCTTTTTTCATTATGTATCCCAAATATTTCATCTACACTTTCCTTGTAGCCTTTATTCGCGTTAAAACTTCTTCATTTGTTAAATTAATTTTCTGTGATATTCTCAGAATTCATTAGTCATGTCTCCATCACATCATGCTTGTTTTCATTCATGGCAAAAATTGTCCCACTTTTATTGGTAGACATCACATTGTTGTCAAATAGAAGGTAGACATCACATTTGTGTCAAGCAGAATGTAGATATCATATTTCTGCCTAGTAGAATGTAGGTATAACATTGCTGTGAAATAGAAGGTAGACATCACATTACTGTGAAATAGATGGTAGACATTTCATTTCTGTCAATAAAAGGCAGCCATCACATTTCTGTCTAGTAAAAGGCAGTCATCACATTTCTGTCAAGCAGAATGTAGATATCACATTGCTGTGAAGCAGAAGGTAGACATGACATTGCTGTCAAGTAGAAGGTAGACATGACATTGCTGTCAAGTAGATGGTAGACATCACATTGCTGTCAAGTAGATGGTAGACATCACATTGCTGCCAAGTAGAAGGTAGACATTGCTGTCTATCATATTGCTGTCTCGTAAACTTTCTTTTTTTAATATTCCTTTTTTGTCCCTTATTACTCAGATTCTGAATGTCTTTTGCTATTCCTGGTTGCCTTCTGTTATTACATTATCCAAATTACTTGTTTTGCAAAATAGCAAATTTAAATCCACCATCAATCTGACCAACCAGAACTCAACCCATTTATTTTTTAACTGATCAGTTTTTGTTATGCTGATGTGGCCCTAGGATCCTCTCAATTTATATAAAAACAAGATAGCAAATTTAGCAGTTATCCTTTTGATAGTCCTTGCACAGTTTATTGTCTTGCACATATTTTCAGTTCATGATTACTGAAGGATATTTGCATGTAAATGAATGTGATAAACGAAACTACAATTTGAACTCAGATCTTCAATTTCTCATTCTGAGCTGTTATCTATTACATCATCCACACATTCAAGCTTATAGCACCTGGTATTTCCAAGTAACCCATCTAAATACTGACCAGGCTCTACATTGCTTAAGGGACCAATATACTAGTTTATCAATCTGCATGTCTATGCTAGAAAATATAAAAAATAGTTTTCTATCTTTTTTTTAAATAATCGATAAATCTTTCAATTAATTTTACATTTGAGACTAAAAGAAATAATTCATTTATCATCCATTTTGAAAATCTCATTTTAAGCCAAATAATTGTAGTTTTAATTTTGCTGTTCTTGGCTATTTGTCAAGGATGCCTGCTAAGAGTAATGGTTTCTTTATCTGCCTTTATATACATCTTTTATTTTTTTACTTTTATATTTGTATCTAGCTTAATTTTATGCTAAAATTCATGAAAACGATATAAATGAAAACTACTTCAAGGTGTGGCAAATAAATGCTACAGGATTATAATGGGCAAGATGACTGTTGGTCACTAGTATATGGCAAAGGAGTTATGACTTATTTGTGATGAGGGTAAAGACTTTCAAAATAAAATCAATTGAATACATACAAAATAAACGGATGCAACACATGGAAGAATTTTATACATATATTTATATAGAAAAACAGACATCACAAAAGAGAAAGAGAAAACTCTATTTACATGTATTTTATCACTTTAAACAATATTATTAGTGGATATTTATTAAATATTATTATTATTATTTATTATATTTATTTATTTTCATCTACCTGCCAGAATATTCAAGAAATCTTATTAAAGGAGAATTTGCACACTCTGGCAGGATTTGAACCTGCATCACCCTGGGGAGAGGGACCCATCATTAGATACAATGTGCTTTAACTGACTCGGCCATGAAGAGCCTTTGTTGATCAAGCAAGGCAGAATAGTGCCATTAAACAAAATCCTTCATGTCATTTGTATCCAAATGTAAACCAAATGATTTCTAAAGATTAATGGATTTTTTATCCACTAAAGATAATGCTTAAACAGATAAAATCTGTCAGATTGATAAATAAAAAAATCCATTACTTCTTTAGAAATTGCCTTGTTTACGTTTGGATATGAAACTGATCCGACGTGAAAATTTTGAGAGTCTATGACGAGATGAATTTCACTGAAAGGCACTATTCAGTTTTGTTTGACTGGCAAAGGTTTTTGGTGACCAAGTTCATTAAAGAACATTGGATCTAATGACAGTTTCCTCTACATTTAGGTATTTATCCATAGTATGTGCATATATGTATGATGTCCACAGGGTTTGTTTGTGTGAGGTTGGTGGGGGTCTTTAAAATTAAGAAGTTTGCTGCCCCACAGGGAAGAGTTCTGCTACTACATTCTGAAGCAAAAGAGAGAATGAGGGTTTATTGTCCTATCCTTCTATTGTCATGAAACAGTACCACCTAGTAGGCATCTTTGCAGACAAGGTGTGGATAATCCTCACATAAGGAAAAAAAAGAAAGATATGAAGTTTAAATTGCAAAGAAAAAGCAGCATAAAAGCTAAAACAATGTTGTCTGCTTAATTATCTAAATCTTTTTATTCAGAATATTCATGACTTTTTCCTTCATTCTCTCAAGATTCTGTTGGCATAGTAATATGGGACATAATTATGTTGGCTTATGAAAGATATGTTGGTGGAATCTGGCCATCAAAAATACATAATTACCCATTTATAATAAAAAAAAATAAAGATGCCTATGAGAAAGTTAGAAGAATATAAATTAGGTTTTTATTTCTTTAGAACAAGAATATTTTAACAAAGTATAGAAATGTGTTACATGCCTTCTCTCTAGCCCTGAACATGAAAACTAGTGGATTCTACAAAAGGCTGTCTTTATTCAAAAGGTCATCACGTCATGTTACATAATGTTGTGTCTACTACACATCAAGAATGCATGTTCTCTTAATAACATTGACCAGAGGATTGTTCTTCTGTAAAGACAAGGCTCAACGGATTAGCCATTTAGAGTCACATGACTTGCACAAGTTCAGTGCATACTAATTAGAACAGAGGAAGAAAAGTTGCCATAACAATTTCTTCAAGTATAGCTGAATGTTAGCCCTTTTTGTAATAGTAATTTTTAAGTGATGAATTTCATTCTAAATAAATGCATATTATATGTTGTGAAATATGCTTGTGATTTCTTTTCACCTATTGTTATAGATGGACTCAAAGAAAGTGAATTTTCCTTATTTGCATTTCAGAAAAAGATATGCGTCGATCAGTGGACAGCCAAGGAAGTCAGACACCAGAGCAAGATGAAAAATCTAAGCACACAAGGTTGAGGGCTGACTCCTTTGGTGATATTTCCAGACAAGGAATGTAAGTATGATGAAATCAACCACATAAAAAAGAAAATTATAATGAAAACTGTAGCGGCTTTTCTTACTTTTATAAACCAAATATTCTAATATTACTTATTTATAATTTAAATTTGCTAACTATTCTAGATATCAATATTTCACAAATGTTCTATTAAAAATCTTGTATAACGTTTCCACTATAGAATATTATAATCAACATTTTAAATCAGCATTTTATTCTTGACTATCAAGTCTTGTGCTAAACTCGTCACAAAGAGTTACTAGAGATAACCAAAGCCATTAAAGAAATACAATGCATACCTAGAGACAATCCAACGAACCCTGCTAAAATTTCTTTTATAATTGCTTATGAAAGCCAATGCTTTTCAGGAAGACATTGGAAAATTTATGCTCAAATTTTCCCGCCAAATCAGAAAAATTAAGTAAAGAAATCACAAACAAATAGCTTTCATTGGTCTTCTACCAAACATACATAAATTATATATATATATATATATATATATAGTGTATATTTAGGCAGCAATTTTTCATTCATGCATGTTTCATTAAATAATATAGACAAGTTATGTCTATTTATTTTAAGTAAGTTCCTTTCATATTGTCTGATAAGCTTAATAACATTATCATTGAAAGACAAAAGGAAATCACCATATTGATATATGTTTTAATCCTATCTAAGCTTTCAGCTTACATAAGCCATTATCAAAGATGACAATTACATTTCAATATATCAAACAATACATGGACGAAACAATGATGATAGTCTGTTTTTGTTGCATGTTTTTGCTTGTTGTTGCTTTGAAATTTTTCAAAATGGCATACTGTACTGCTTGGCATTCATACTAGAAGCTTCAATACAAACATTTCAGTGTGTTTGGGTGTCAATCTGAGGACAGTGCAGAGAATTCGAAAAGAGTGAAATGATATATCCAGTCAACATCATGGTATTTGGAATGATCACTAGTGATGGCAATATTATGCCTCCATTCATCTTTCCACAGAGCCTCAGCCTCAACATGGAGGTCTACATCAAGTGCCCTGAGAAGGTAATGCTTCCCTGGGTCAAGAGGGTGGCTGCTGAAAGACACTATATCTGGCAACAAGATTCTACACCATCCCACACAAATAGGAGAACACAGTCATCGCTGGCAGACAATTTCTGCTACCACGTCACTCCTTACATCTTTCTACCTAACTCCCCAGCTTGCAACCTCCTTAATTATTACGTGTGGGGTGCAGTTAAGTGAGAGACCAACAAAACTCCTTGTAACACAAAAGATGAACTGAATGCAAGGATTATGGCAGCATTCACCAACTTAAACAAGGAGACTGTCCAGAAGAGATGCAGGAGATTCCAAAGTTGTCTGGAGTCCGTGGTTGAAGCCAATGATGATTTTACTGAATAAATTTACTCTTTAGTATTTCAAGATATTTTTGTGTAAGTTTGATAAATATATCTATTAAAATGAGATGTCAGTGTTATTTTTATTTTTGCGTAATTTAGATGACAATTTATCTATCGCTCCCTGTATATGAGGGCACTTCAATATGGTGTAATGGTTAGCAAGCTTTTCTCTCTAGATAAGTTATGACTGAATAGTGTGTTTGATTCTCACTGGGTACCCCATACTTTCAGCTTTGTACCACATTTAATCTACACTTAGAAAATCACCAGGGCACCTCAATGGGATGTAATAGTAGCTAGATTACCTTGCTAGATCAGTTATGACTGAATAGTTTGATCCTCACTGGGTGCCTCATACTTTCGGCCTTGTGCCACAACTAATCACTATTTGAGAGGCATCTAGTTATTAGACCAATGAGGAAATGATTTTCTAAAAATTCTAATATTTTTTATATTTAACAAGTTGATCAATCCAGTAATGTTTAAATATCCCTTTGTGTATAATTAGATATTATATATGTTATTTATATATATATATGTGTATGTGTGTATATATTCATTATGTATGTCATTATGTCTATAATTATATATTTAATTATTATACAAGTCAATTTATATATTTTTATAAATGTAATTAAATATATAATCAATTCTCTCTTTCCTTCTCTATTTAAATATCTCTTTTCCCTCTCTCTCTCTCTCTCTCTCTCTATATATATATATATATATATATATATATATATATATATATATATGTGTGTGTGTGTGTGTACACTTTAACAAAATGTTTACCCCATTCTATAAATGCCTTGTTTGGATTTTTTTATATCTGCTCTGTATCTGTTGAATAGACGTTTGTAAGCAAATCCTAATTTCTGGTTATTTTTCAAATATTTCTTTTACTGATTCATCATTAATATTGTTGACCATTTGTTTTGTCAGACCTCGAAGTTCCTCGTTTGGAGAGAAAAACCGTCCAAAAACTCAACCTGACCTTGAGTGGCAGTTGGAAGATGACCTGCCAGAGGTCAAACTGGTTCCAAAATCCAAGCAGAAAAAGGACAGTCAGATAGCCAAAGAGCTATCAGACCTTGTAGTGTATACACAGGCAGTCAAGTTTAGAAGTAAGTTCAGTGATCCAATATTTACATACTTTTTGTGTACAATGCAGGAAATTTGGCATCGGAATCTAAGGCTGAAATATTTTATGGGTATCAAGAAACACATCATACATGAGTGTATTTTACACTTTCTATTTACATGAGTGTATTTTACACTTTCTATTTACATGAGTGTATTTTACACTTTCTATTTACATGAGTGTATTTTACACTTTCTATTTACATGAGTGTATTTTACACTTTCTATTTACATGAGTGTATTTTACACTTTCTATTTACATGAGTGTATTTTACACTTTCTATTTACACGAGTGTATTTTACACTTTTTTTAAATGAGTGTATTTTACACTTTTTTTAAATGAGTGTATTTTACACTTTTTTAAATGAGTGTAATTTACACTTTTATTTATATGAGTGTATTTTACACTTTTTTAAATCAGTATATTTTTACACCTTTTTAATTTACACTTTTATTTATATGAGTGTATTTTACACTTTTTTAAATCAGTATATTTTTACATTTTTTTTAAATGAGTGTATTTTACACTTTTTTTTTAAATGAGTGTATTTTACACTTTTTTTTTAAATGAGTGTATTTTACACTTTTTATTTATATGAGTGTATTTTACACTTTTTTACATGAGTGTATTTTACACTATTTTTACCTCAGTGTATTTTAAACATTTTTATGAGTATATTTTATACATTTTTAAATGAGTGTATTTTACACCTGTTTTAAATGAGTGTATTTTATACCATTTTTTAAATGAGTGTATTTTACACCTTTTTTAAATGAGTGTATTTTACACCTTTTTTAAATGAGTGTATTTTACACTCTTTCTGTATTAATTTATTTTACTCATTTTTACATGAGTGTATTTTAATACATTTTCCCCAAGAAATGTCAACTTTGTCATAAATATAAGTTTGCTTGAGCTTCCTATTTTCTTTCATTGCTCACATGTTCTATCCATGATATTCTCAGCATCTGTAGAAGCACATATCTGTTGCTTCCTCATTAGTAAAGAAATCTTCTAGTATTGTAATGGTAATATTAGCTGTTTCCCTATAAGAAAACATTTGGTATTCATTGACCAAGCAACCAGTACAGTTTTTGGTTGAAATTTATACAATCTTTCTGTTAAAAGACTTTTTTTAGGAAAACATATTTCTCAAGTCCAGTAGCTGTTATTGCTCTTTCTAGTAATGATGAAGGTTTCCTTCCAAATCTTCTATTTGAAGTGGTATCAAATGTTAACATTTTTATTATGTCATTATTTTCTCTTCAAGTTACATGTGCTATTCCTTTTAGTTGTTTCTGCTGTTGGTAGACATCAAATGTTATGGTTTCTGTTATTTGCTACAGATCTTTGTGATTCTGTATTGCCATTCCACAAGGTTTGAAGTGGGATGATCTTTGCCAAGACAATCACACTCTACTCATTCAAAGCCTTTTTTCACTATTGAAAGAAGTTACATACAGCTGACAGTTTAGACAGTTTGACACCATGCATGGCATCCATATGAAAGTCTCAATCTGATGGAGCTATTTAAGAACATGACTTGAATTTTCAGGTTGATGCTTTGGTTTCATAGCAATTTTCAATGTTGGGTGAAACTACCACTGATACAAGCTATTCTATGTTGAATTTATTTTTCTCCTATACTTAATCTGTTATAGTTGATCTATATGACGAGATATCTGAGGTGTTTAGTATTTACAGCATGCCATGCTACATATACTGGAATGGAGTTCCATTCAGACCATTTTTTCCCCAAGAGCCACTGCTTTGTGCGACAAGCTCCTGATAAGATCATTCTCTGATTGCTACAAACTTTAAATCTATTATCTTTCTTACATGTCCTTATATTCTGTTTTTCTTACCTCTTATGTTTATTCAACAATTTTATTCAGTAAATCTCTGCCTTGAGTGGCTCTTGATTTCTGCATTGAGCAAAAAATTTATAAAAATAAAATCATCTTTTATGTCCCATGACCTTTTAGGACATGGGGGATTATGACGTTCTACAACTTCCTGTTTTTTGTTGCTCTAAGTAGTTTTTCGATATGTGCCTAGCAAAGCAAACATCAGCTTCAATAGTGTAAATGGCAAATCAAATTCAAATTCAAATTCTGGCCTATAACATGAATCCAGCTCTTCTCCCCCATGCTATGGTTTAAATAACAGGGTAGACTGGGCTTTCTAAACTTGGGTGGTAACCAGTCTAAGAGAAGTAAAACTATGAATTCCAAACCATGGAGACAGCAACTTGAAACCATTCTCTGTCCTGGTATGTATAGCAATTCACAAATAATAAAGAAAAGGTAGAAAGCCATGATTACCTTCACCCTAAAGAGACATAACATTTATTTAAAAAAAAAAAAAAGGGTGAACTTTGACCCTTTACTATTTTTATTTGTCTTTGTTCTGTCATTCATTCAAGCAAACTTGTAAGGGAAGCTATTCAATTGCTTTTTTATCATGCTTCACTATGTATCTTGAGTATTAAATTCTCCAGGTCTTCTTTCCTCATCATGTATACTAAAAATTTAGCAATGGTAGTAAGTAACATATATCACAACCTCCCCTGAACAATAATGCATCCACCAAAAGAGTTGAGGATATCTTGGATCTCATATAACAGATTCAAAAAAAAGACTTCAACATCCAAAAAGCTCTTGCATGAAGATACGTGTAACAAACTTCACAAGATTTAGTGCTCAAACTTTCCATGCTCCTTAAAAGTCCAAACCTTCCAAACATTGAGTGAACCAGTCCTATTTAATGGATCAGAAACTTCGACATTATCTTTACATCTTGAAAGATGACTGGATGAAACATATACAAATCTACATAGAAAAATCCAGAACATCAGTTGGAGATCTCATGCAACAAATTTTTACAGGGAACTGAGACCAATCTCTCTTAAGCTCAAACAAAAGCAATTACAGCTTGCCAGCCACTGCTACCAACTGGACAGGGAAATCATCTCATCCTTACTCTTATGGCATCATTCTGGAAGTGTCTTTTCACAAAAATTGACTTTCCCAGACACCATAGATCAAGACTCAGAATTGGACATTGGGGATATGGAAACAGCAATACAAGACGTGTAGAAAGGGATTGTCAATGAAGTTCTGACCAACCGTAGGGAGGTCGAAGGGTGATGATGATGAGTAAATAACCTTATAATCCAAATGATTGTTCTTCATTTTATTCTTTATTGCCAGATCTTTCTGTCAGCCCAGGCACGTCAGTGAGACAAAAGAAAGTCACGTCTAAGAAGAGTATTTTGTCTTCCACTCACAGTGGCTCTCCTGGTTCTTCAGCGAGCATGAGCACAGGTATGTCAGTTCTTATCAAATTTCACTTTCTTACCAACATTTTTCACTCTCTTTACTACATTTGCTTTTCTCTCTCTCTCTTTCCCCCATTGACTTTTCTCTTTTCCTCTTCCCAACATTCACTTTTGTTCTCTCTCTCTCTCTCTTTCACTTTCCAACATGCTTTTTTCTCTCTCTAACATTCACTTTTCTCACTCTCTGTCTTTTCAACATTCCCTTTTCTCTCTCTTTCCAACAATCCATTTTTTTCTCTCTCTTTCAGTATTTCCTTTTCTCTCTATCATTCTCTTCTCACTCTCTCACTCTTTTTCCATCATTCCCTTTTCTCTATCATTCCCTTTTCTCTCTCTCTCTTTCCATCATTCCCTTTTCACTCTCTCTTTTTTCATCATTCCCTCTCTCACTCCATCATTCCCTTTTCTCTCTTTCTGTTTCCATCATTCACTTTCTCTTACTCTCTCTTTTTTCTTCTCTTAGTCACTTGTCATATATATTTTCCCACTTTCTCTCCTCTCATCTTTTTAGCAAACAACATTATGCGATCCAAGAATAAATTCTGTACAAAAGTAGGATCATAGCCAAAAAGATTTCGATTTTTGTTTGTCTTCTTTTCTAACCAATCAGAAACAGAATACATCTTTTCTAACCAATACAAAATATGAAAAAAACAAGATTATATGTATGGGGTCCCCAGTGAGGATCAAACTTACTACTCAATAATAATAATTGTCCAAACAAGTTCAATACTTATTACCCTTCCCCAAGGCATATATAATGGATGGATATTGGCTTACTTTCAGAGCAGTAATCAATTTTAATTTTTTCTTAGGTTTAATGTGACAGAACTTATAGACAAAGAAACATAGAAAAAAGTTATATCGTTCATTATTATATTTGATGATTTTTTTGTAGAAATCATTTGTACAGGATTAATTTGTAAAAAAAACTGTAAAATTCACACTAACTGATAAAAAGATTATTAAAAATAATCACTAAATGCTAATGGTAATATTAGTTGTTTTCTTATAAGGATACATTCTAGTCCACTCTTTATAGTATTACTGCAGGTTTCCTTCCTAGCCTTTTGTTTGAAGTCGTGTGGAACATCAACATATTGATTATGTCTTTATTTTCCTTCCAAGTTACATGTGATATCCCTTTTATTATTATTACTGTTGAAAGTCCTCAGGTGATATCGTATTTGTTATTTGGTACACTTCTTTGTTTAAGATTCTGTAGCACCAGTCCGCAAGGTTTGAAGGAGGAGGGTCTTTGCTATGACCCTTAAAAAAACATAATAGGAAAAGAATTAAAAACATCAACAAGAATTTACTAACCTTCAAATGTTCTTTAAAATTCATGGATCATGAAGACTTTTGCAAAAAATTGTTCTTTAATCTTATCTTTCACTTAAGGTTTTTCTCACCTGAGTCCATCCTTCAAATCTACAAATCAACCATTCGCCCTGGCATTAAATATTGCTGTTACATATAGTCTGGTGACCTTGCTGTTCATCTCTTGGTCCTTGACAAAATCCAGAGACGGATATGCAATGTAATTGGTCCTGATCTGGCATCTCATCTACAGGCACTTTCTCACAGACATACTGTGGCTTCCTTCTGTCTTTTCTACAAGTATTGTCATAGCAACTGCTTTGATGAGCTACTTTCACTGGTTCCCAAACTGCAGGAATTTAAGTGTGCTACTAGGTTGGCATCTCAGTCCCACCCTTTCACTGTTGAAGCAGTTAAATGTAGCCATCTCGTCTACTCCAACAGCTACTTATCTCACACTTCCTGACAGTGAAACTCCCTTCCTCTGACTTGCCTCCCTGATAACTACAATCTTCAAATATTCAAATGTAATGTCAATTGACATCTTCTGATGCCTTAATCTTGATCCCCATCCTTCTCTATATCCTTTTCTCAAACACCCACCTTTACGCTTACTCTCTGTAACCCCTTGCATACTAGTAGCACACCTGCCTTGCTTGAAGTGATATGCTTAAAAAAATATGTATTTTTTGCATCCTTGATAACTTTTTTTTATTTGCAGTGACCGAGAAGTCTGAACTGAGCATCACACCTTCGATGATTCGTTCACGAAGGTTTGACTCCACACCTGCCTGCTATCTTCTATCTTCAGTCAATGAAAACAAGGCCAAGAATCTCTGCCGACGATGCCCAACGGGCCTCATAAGATATCCTTTTATTCTTATCAATGAAAAAGAAAGTTGAATCTGCAATTTAGTTTCCTGTCCATTACCTGCTAATTTTTTCCTAATTTTAAACATGAGAAATTAATTCAAGTACCTAATGAATTATATACTTTTATTATTCTTCTTTGTATATACAACCATTATGTTTTTCTACCTAGGCTCAGTGTGTAGCACCCACTAGATTTCTATCCTTTCTAACTGAGAAAGCTATATTAAATGGAAAAGAACTGGGAAAAGGCAGTATGATAAAGAAGAGGATGAGATAAACAGATTTAAGAAAAAGGAAGATAAAAACCAGTAAATTATACACATATATATATATATATATATATATATATATATATATATATATATATGTAGGTGAGAATGAGTAGAGACAATTCCAACAAATTTAAAAGAGGGCTCAATACAAAGTAGAGCAATATTCTTTATTTTAGGATATTACATTGAAAAACATGTCAAAATCGCTACACAATTGCAGTCGTGTTTCATCTGTGCTGCTATTGATTTTAAATCTACAGGTCATGACCCATTTATGAAAAATAATTTCTTAATTTTTGTTTCTTCCCTTAGTTTAAATTTAACATAGATCATACTCAATTGGTTGATCTGAGTAAAGCCCACCAACCTTATAACCATAACCTTTTTTTTTTTCATAAAAAGATGCTGTATTTTGCTTTTAAATCTAAATAAATCATTCACTAGCCAGTAATTTACAATTGCCTGATGAGATGCATTGATATGCAATGAAACATGACTGCAATTGTGTCATGATTTTGACAAGTTTTTCGATGTAATATCCTAAAATATAAAGTATATATATGTGTGTGTATGCATGTGCACTTTCAGGATGTATAATACTATCTGAAACAAAGAAGATTATAAGATAAATTGTACAAGCTATACATACAGCTATACATAAACGCATTTTGCCAAGAGTGTCTGCTTCCTCTGGCTTCTTCAAGTTAGAATTAAAGAAAGACAAAAAGGAAAGATGCATTGTGATTTCCGAGGATAAGGGGGACCAATTTATGATTTACAATAAAAGATTTTTCTACCAATTTGTACAATGGAAAGTGAAATATTATCAAAGACTGAAAATGTGTTTGATAAATGATTTATGTTGTAAGAATTAGCACACTAATATTAGTTTGCATTGTTTTTATAGCTTGTGCCAGACAAGTAATTTTCAGGTGGTAAGCATCTTTGCCCCTACCCACTCACAACTGGCCCACATCTCATACAAACTTATCATATACTGTTATACTATACCTATATGAGCTAAAACATGTTAAAATAAAATGGTATCTGTAAAAATAACAGCAAAAATCTGTGTTTAATTTCAAGTTTTTTTTATCCTACTACAAAAAATGACTAAATATAAACTATGTGTCTTTGGCTTCATGAAGAAAAAATCAGTTTCCGTTCTTCAGGATTTGCTAATCTCAAAATGTCCGGTATTTCTAAATTTTGCCTTAACTCTCCATACTCACACAGAAAGGCAGTTGATGAGGACGTATCCTGCAGGTGTAAGAATCGATTCCTCCAATTTTAATCCAATGCAGTTCTGGATATTTGGAATTCAAATGGTTGCTCTAAATTACCAAACAGAAGGTGAGTCTAGATGCATTCATAAAAATAAAATGTCTTAAATGTATTCATGAAAATAATACATGAAATATGTCCATGAAAAAATACTTGATATGTGTTCATGAAAATAATATGTGAAATGTGTTCATGAAAATAATATGTGAAATGTGTTCATGAAAATAATATTTGATATGTGTTCATGAAAATAATACATGAGAGGTGTTTATGAAAATAATATATCAAATGAAAAATAAAATGAAATAAATAAAATAATAATAAATAAGAAAAAGAAATATATTTTCTATGATGCTAGTAATAAAGGAACCAGAAATTTTATTTTACTACTTGGCATCGTTAAACATTGTTAGGTACTGTTGAAGTCTATAAAGTGGTTTTCCAAGTGTAGCTTAAATGTGGCACAAGGCCGAAAGTAGGGGGGGCACCTAGTGAGGATCAAACTCACTACTCAGTTGTAATCATTCTAGCAATACAAGCTTGCTAACCATTACACCACCTCGAGGATCCCCTGTTGAAGTCTATAAAAAGCCAAACATTTTCTTTCTCACTCTCTTTTCTCCAAGATGTAGTATAACATGGCAAAAGGACAGTCCCACTGAGCTATATTTATTTTCCTGGTCCACTGATGACTGAACTCTCTTTTTCCATTTTCCAATGCATGGTGTTCACATTTGTCTTCCCAAACTTCCACCTATGGAGTAAATCAACCTTTTCTTTGGTCGACCATTACAATGATGATTCTACTTACTTACCATAACTTCTGGACCAAAAAGAAAATGAACATACCAAACAGACATTAAGAATTTTGGTCCACTACAGATTATATAAAGAAAAGAATAAACAGTCCATAGCAGAAACCCAAGTTTTTGTATGCTTCTTCTCCATCCTACATACATCAGCATGTAATCATTTAATTCCAATAAACACCTCTACACGCAAGCCACTGGGTTGCATGCCATGAGCGTTTGCCATCGGTGGGCTGCTGTCGGGCTGCTGGTGTGTTCATCTCAGTAACGTTACCTCTGCCAGGCCACTAGAGACCCACCGGTGGCCTGTCAGTAGTGTGCTGGTGGCTGCCACCAGAGGGCCACTGGCACTGCTATCAGTGCCCCACCAGCTGGCCACTAGTGGCTTGCATTTAGGGACTTGACATACATTCATGAAAAAGACTTATCACTGACTTTTATTTGCAGGCAGTGAGTGTTTGACTTTCAAAACAGATAAAACTTCCAATGAACCTATTCTATTGAATGTTAGATTTAAAAAAAAAAATTTCTGAAAGGTCATTTTTAAAAATTCAGTGAAAATTATGTGTAGAATAACTCTATTCATGTCAGTAACATTTGCATTGTGTTCTGACTACAAATACCTTTTTTTCTTCATGAATAAGGCATTTTTAAAGTAAAATTATTTACAGAGCTGCAGTGAAATCACTAGCAGTAAATTTAGATTATGCAAAAATAACCAAATTCTGTCAGTAATGCTTGTCCTAATTGCTGAGTACTGACAATCGATTTGTTATTGATTTTCAATGCATTCCATTATAAAATTATTTGCAATGCATTTTTATAGTAAAAGCATCTGCAATGCATTTACAATGTACTATTCTTAGCAAAAATTATGGAATCACAACACTTACATGGTATACCCTTGACTTTCTTATTATGCAATACATAAATAAACACCAATATTTTTTATCACTTCACTCCAAACAAGACAATATAGCCATTAAGACACAAGGGCTTACTGAGTGTAAAAGAATATAAGAAAAAGAAAAAAATTACTTGGAAGAGGTTAAAAAAACAGGAATTAAAAAGATGAAATATAATGGCTGATACTGCATTTAAATTTTTGAAGATCAAACTTCACTGGAAACCAAGATGACATGCCATATATTTGAGATCTTCCAAAACTAAAGCTTAAAAAAAAACACACTTGCAGTTGTCCATGATTCATGACAGATTATTTGGCTATTTTGTCCATAGAAAATGATCTTGTAAAGAAGATAGGTGTAGAAAGGGCCATGAAAAGATTTGCAAATTTAAAAGCAAGAAAAAACTCTTTTAACTAGGATAATGAATGTTTTCTTTAGCTTGTATTAAGTTTTATATTGTAATAAATTGGTTATTCTACATTTTCAGTTTGTGAAAATTTTTTAAAATTATACTTGTGAGGGTGCCAAAGTTCAGCTTGTTTGGGATGCGAGCAACCCTAGGGTTGGCCCTGATAAGACATACTTTTTTACCCCCAAATCTGATAGCAAAATCTCTGACCTGTATATCAAAGGTATGACTAATTCATATATGCATGTGTGTAGATATTCTCAGATGGAGTGAATCTGTAGAAGAGACAAAATGAATAAAAGTGACAAAAGGAAATACTATACTTAGCCGATATGTTTTATCAAGGTAATGTAGGATTTATTATGCTGCACATGTTTCTTTACACAAAGGCAAGAATGGCATTAGTTTATCAAGGTTTATAAATTTGAGAACATTCATGAATATTCATCAGGTGGTTGAAAGGTCAGTCAAAACATGTGGAGGGTACAAAGTGTCCTAACTCAAAGTCCGGCAAAAAGTAAAATGAGCAAGTAATATTCAATCATATCTTTTTTAAATGAATATTGTTTTGATTGTGCTTAGATTTTTATGCTATGAAATCGATATTTGTGCTGTACATCTTCAAAGGCTGAAGTGATGGATTTAACCATTTTCTTTTGATTTTTCAACATATTTGTTGTTGTATATGTTGACTTGGGAAAGTAGTAATTCTTTCAGAAAATGTAGGATTAGGAAAAAAACGGGGCATAGATTGATATTTTAATAATATTCAGTAATAGCACTCTCGAGGATTTTCCTTCAGAGTAAATTCCTTTCTCTTTTGGTGAAAGTGCCATTTTTTTAGGTCGAAATTGTTGTCAAATTTATTTCTGTGTATAATGAGTGCATTTGTTAAATTGTTATTTATTAGATCCTTTTTGTTTTCATAAATATGTTTTTTAAATTTCTGCATGTTTCCCCAATGTATTGTGAGGAAGAGTTTTGGTAGTTTATTTTATACATGCCTTCTGAATTATTATTGTTATGCATGTTTTTAGTTCTGCTTGTATCCATGACTGTTTTGCAAATTCTTAATGCTCTTCATGAAACTACTTAAGTAGACACTGCTTAAGAGCATTAAGAATTTGCAGCCCCCAATACCTACCTAAAGAAGAAACATACATAGAAACACATTCAAAATCCTCCAATATCCTTATCACTTCATCCACAATGCAAAGAGAAAGGCACACAAAATACGCAACCACAACAATAATAACAACATTATCTGCAATAATAAATTAAACAAAAACAAAGCACTATTTACCAACACCATAGCATCCACTATCCAGAACAACTTATCCCATCTAAACAACATCCAAATAGTCACCACTACTTCAAAGATCATCATAGATATAATTAGAACTAAAAACACCCATAACAATAATAATTCAGAATAATTTATTGATCACCATTATGTTGCAAGTATCACCTCTTTGGTTGTGATGTGTATAGACATTTTATATTAAATATCTATGGATTCCTGGAACATATATCCTGCAAAGAGTCTTGGTGAACTTGTGTGAGCCTGAGTAAAAATAAGAAACACAAAACAATGAGTATAAAACAAATGACAATGCATGTTATTAACAAAAGGAATTACATGTGTACACAATTGTAATGAAAGGAAAAAAACATTAAAACTAGTTATAAGAGTGTACTGTGTGCGTGTGTGTGTGTGTGATAGACATGTGTGTATGTGCATGTGTGAGAGAGTTCAAAAGTCAACGGAGGGCCAAAGAAGTAAGCATGCCATCGGCAGCATTCTTTATCAACATTGACTACATCTGAAAGTAAGAGTTAAAAAGAAGAAGAAGAGAGTGAATATGACTGCCTTTTTATAAACTTAAAGAGCGCCCCCTAACAGGCATTCTGGCAAGTAGGATAATTCACAAACCAACTAACATTGTCCTGCTTTGTGAGGTTGGTAGCTGCATCAATTCTTCACTAATATCAGGAGTCAGTGTTCAATGCTAGATTAAAGCTAGAATTTTATCTACTGAAGGTTTAAGCTCTCCACACTTGGAATTCTGACACAACACAATTTCCTTTCCACTGTTTCTTCCTCCTTGGACACATACTATACTAAACAATTAACCAATTTTTAAAATTATATTTTCAGAAATTGTTCTTATTTTTCTGTTCTTTCAGATATGGCCACGGCGCTAAACACAACATTATTTGAGCAGAACAATCGATGTGGCCTTGTCCTCAAACCAGATGTCATGTGGGATAAAAATCATGTCATGCATGACCGATTCAATCCTTTTGACAAAGAGTTTGATGGTTTCCATGCCACTGTACTCACCCTTCATGTAAGTATTAAAAAATTAGCCTCATAAATTTTTTGCACTTATTCTTGGCAAATTGGGTGATAAAATATTTATATACACCATTATGCAAATTTATTAAAACAACTGCTTTCATTTTCTTTCTTTCACCATACAGTCAGTTTTAGACCCACTGGAGTGACAGGGTGTAATCAACTTCTATTTTTACCTCAGGTTAGGTCATTTAGAGTGGTGTGCAGTAATGTGAATCTATTTTCAGGGTCTATGATGAAATTTGTTTGGCCTTGAAAAATACTGCATCATCCATGATTACATCAGATTTTTATCATGCCCTGATACCATTGTCTCGACTGTCGATTAGTTGTCCTACGGCCATTGCCTGCGATGGACATTAATCTAAAGAAGCGTATGAAAATTGTAACACTGCACAAACACACTTGCAAGCCTTACTAGTGTACAAATCAAAGTAATATAGACTGGCCCATAAACTCTCCTGGTTTAAATCCAATCGAGAATCTGTGGTCAATCAATCTGCAAGGAATAACTTTGTGGATTGGACATATGAAGTACTAACATGTGCATTTGGTCATGTTTCATTGAAAAAATACAAAAAAAGTAAATAATAATGGAATTATTCATTTTTTACAAGGGTGTGTGTGCGTATATATATATGTATATATAATGAAATGGTTGGAGTCCAACAATTATTTTAATATATTTCCTGTTTATATGTCATTTTTATAGATACAATTATTTAAGTAAATGCTCTGTTTATAATAAGCAGTATTAATTACATTTACCGGCATAAATGTTGTAGAAAATATGTGTTCTCTGGCAGGAATTGAACCTGTATCCTACATGGAACCATGATGTGCTATACTATTTAGCTACATAGGAAGAGTCTGGTAAGCAAAGTCACTGTTTTTAAACAAACAAATTTTCCATGATCTTTCTTATATATATTAATTTTCTTATTATATATTAATTTGACTTTGCTAACCAGATGCTTCCTCTGTAGCTAAATAATATAGCATGTAGCCAAATGAGGGTTCCATGTAGGATACAGGTTCAATTCCTTTTGGAGGACTCATATTTTCTACAAAATTTCTTGGACATTCAGGTAAGTAAATATAATTAATACTGTCTATTATAAACAGAGCATTTACTTAAATAATTGTATCTATAAAAATAATGTATAAACAGAAAAAAAAAAAATATATATATTTCAACTGTTTCTTTCTGATATTAAATACAAGTGTCCTTTTTGTTTCCATTTTCTCTAAAACTTTGTTGTTGTTCACATGTTTAGTCTAGGGTATTCTCAGCATCCTTCTGCAGAATCACATTTCTGTTGCTTCAAGTCCCTTCATCTGTGATGACATTGTCCAACATTCACTGCCTTATAGAAGGATTAATATTACGTAAAAGGAACTCTAAATTCAATACTGCAAAACCAATTCCCTATGTTTCCCAAGAATGCAAGAAAATAAATATGTGGAGAGTCATGATAACCTCTGTCTTGAAAAGACATGGCACTAAAAAAAATACGAGAATATTTCTTCAGTTTTCATTTTTAGTTTTTAACTGAAAACAGAGACGAAGAAAACATTTGGCGGTAAATTCAGAGTAATTATTAATTTTGGGGCCATTCTTTTAAAATCTAATGTCGGTGCTTTGCCATTGAAAATACCAATACTTAAATCTAATTAGGTGCTCTTGTGACTTTGTGCCAGATTATACTAACCTTTTTATTTTTCCGAATCTTATTTTGAGATGGTTAACAGACAAAAATCGAAGCGTAAGAAATAATACAAAATGGTACTCCATATTAAAGGGTGGTAACTCTCCAAATAATTTCTAACAGTTTTTCTTCTTGACTCATAGATCAATAGAAAGTCGAAACCGCTAAAATGGACGATTTCCCAAATCGAAAGAAGAAAAAAACAATAAACGTCATCCCCAATTTTTACATTTAACAAAAATCAGAGAATTATCTGAATTTTTAGTGCTAATTAATGAATGAATTGTATACAGAATAAATTATTCAAAAATCTTTTAGAAATATTTATAGGGATCATTTACCCACTCACATTTAAATCATGAAATATTTTTAGTTTTAAAATTGGGGGTTGATGACAAATATATTTTATAGTTTATAAAGAAAACCCCTTGCAGATAAATATGAAAAAAATATTGCGATATCAAATTTGTACATCTTGAAAATTTGTTCTAAAATTTTACAAAAATAATTCAAAAATAATTTTTTTTTTTTTTGAGATTTGGTGCTTGCATAATTTAATAAAATCACATTATTTTCTTTCAGATTTAACAGGAGAAAACTCTACAATTAATTTCTTTTTAATTTCTTCTAATTTTTAAGCATGGTTTTGTAATTTCAATTGCTGAAACAAAAGAGATCTTTTTTTTTTATTAAATCAAGATGCTTTTGGAGAATTGAAAAATGTAAAATTTAATGACATCATTGTATCAGAAATATTCTTTAAAAGATTTTATTTTATTTTTGCAACTCTTAAATTATTTTGTATGGAAGACCATTTATGAAATAATTCCACAATTTCTGTTGGTTATGCAAAGTTAAAAATAATTATCTATGATATCTGGAGAGGTCAAGAATATTTTAAGACATTGGTAGCAACAAAAAAAAACAAAATAAACAATATCAATTCAGTAAGTCTTTTGTTTTCCTTTTATAGTAGAACTTTGTTTTGTTTAATGAATTTTCTTAAAATTATTGAAAAGAGCTGATTTGATGCCTTTAAATATTTCTTGGCATCAAATAGTTAAAAGTAAATAAATACAGAATAAATGCTAAATAGATTTGAAAAGAAATACAGTAGATAAATAATATCATTTCATTTTATTAATTTAAAAAATATTTTTATATTCCTATTAATATAAAAAATTTTCTAAGTTTCAGTTTGGCAATTTTAGACTTTTATATTTAAATATGAGACAGTTTTTTTTTGTTTTTTGTTTTTTTTTTGTTAAAGTGGGTTTGCTTGTAGCGGAAGGGAGATAACTGCTGTTGCTTTATGTATAAACTTGTTGACTGATAGAATATATCTTGCTGTGTTCAAAGGTGTTTTTCACAAAAGTAATATTTTTTTGAAAAATTCTGTTAATTAATCTTTAGTTTCACTAATTTTCTTTAAATCTAATAACTAGGATAGATATTTGGTTTTTAAGAGATTTCTAAAATTTTTTAATTTTCTGTTATTTGTCAATTAAAATGGTAGATTGATGATAAATTGACTATAAGAACATTTTTAAAATGTTTTAAAGCCTTACTGAAATGCGTAAAATTATTTTTACAGATTAGCTTTAAGCAAATATCTTTCAAACAGAACCAAAATTTTACTAAAATGTAAATATTTAAATTATTTTAAAAGTGTTTTTAAGGTTTTTTAACTCAAATTTTAGTGGTACCTAATACAGTGGTACCTAAACAGATATAGGTAGACAGATAGATATAAATTGAAAGAGATAGGTATAAATTAACTGAGATAGATGTAAACAGATCAATTGATAGAGAGTTGGAAAACTGACTGACAAATAGATTATGAAAAAAGAATGAGAGTCATAGGTACATAGCTATTTATTTTGCCTTTCCTGGATTCAGTATTAACATTGTTGATGATCACCATTACATGCATACATACATACTTATGCAAATTCAAATGTGATGATAATGATCATCACACACATACTTACTTATGCAAATTCAAATTATACAACAACAAGCATTCAATTCTGTGTAATGGACAATTTATAAGTCGCAGCTATGCGACAATTTTATAATCGCTATATTTTCATGTAATCGATTTCATGCACTTTTGGGAGAATCGGATCCCAGAAGTTTTTTATGAGTCTCCTCAAAGCTCACTCGCTGATTGGTCAATGCCAACCAATCAGATTGTCTGCATGTGAAGAGTGATTCTTCCCGTGCAGCACTTTCAGAGCCGATGGTCACCTATATAAGCAAAAAATATTCTTAGTAAATTAGTGAGATTTCAGCTGCCACAGGAATCCATGACAGTTGAAACAATGCACCAATCTTCTCACTCACACCACCACTCACATGCTGAATATTCCCTGCACTCACATAATATTTTTTCTTACACAGCAAAACTGTTGAAAACATTCATTACCAGAAACTATTACAACATTATTTCTTTCAGTGAACTTTGTAACAATTGATAGTTAAAGAGAGACAACTCTTGTTTTACTCAATGCATGCTTTTTTTTCACATCCTTTTTTGTACATCTTGTTAAATACAAATTTTATGTGTCATGATGTCTTTGGCTTATCCTCTTTTTCTTCATGTCATTTTGGTTTCCTAATCTAAGTTAAATAAATGTGGTGAAGTCCGCCACAATATTTCCAGTAAATTGATTAAAACATGTTTTCTGAATAAAACTTATTTTCATTACTTTATAAATATAATGTATAATTATATTTTTACATAAAAGAAAACAAAATAATTCAAACCAGAGTTTTAGAATTTTTTTTTTAATTATTATTTCATATATTTTCTGAACTGTTGTTATTATTTTTGCTGTTAATAACATATTTCAGAAGACAGTCTTCAGCCTTCCTCATCTTTTTTGAAATGTATTATTCTATGTATTTTCAGGATAGTTGTCTTCATTTTTATTGTTTCAAAGACAAGATTTTCACCAATGCTTTATTTAGCTTTCTAGTATTTGAAAGAAAATAGGAACTAAAAGAGTAACAGAACATTTCAAAATACTTAAACTCAGAAAGCCAGTCAAAATTTCTGGGGCATTATTTGAGGAAAGAGGGCTTTAAGAAATTAATACTCACAAGGCATACTGAAGATAGGAGAGGCAATGGGGAAAAATTAAACAGCCGAATGAATTTGAGCGAATAAATGGCAGAGCAGAGATAGAAATTGGTAAATGAGTCAAACATTGTTTAGAGCTACAAGGGATAGGAATTTGTGGAGAACCATGATTAATCATTTCCTAAAGGGTTGTGGCACATAAAGTTCTGAGATTAAGTGTCTTAACTATTCTATAGATTTTCTGAACAACATTCTTTATTGTCATTTTGTGTGTTGTGTAATGGATAGCAGCTCAGAATAAGAAATTGGAGAGCCAAGTTTGAATTCCACTCAGTTACATTGCATTCACTGGACAATTTCCTTACAGATGAAAAAGAGACTTGAGGCAGCATAAATCTGGTTCTACAGAAGAATGCTGAGAATACCTTGGACTGAACATGTGAGCAAAAAGAGAAAAATGGAAACAAAAAGGAAAACTTAGAATTAACATCAGAAAAAGAGTTGAAATTTCTAGGCCACATAATGAGGAAAGAGGGTTTAGAAAATTTGAAACTCATGGGACAGATTGAAGGCAAGAGGGGCAGAGGAAAACAGCTTATAACCTACTTAATGAGCTAAGAGCTACAAAGGACAGAAAACTGTGGAGAACCAAGACCACCTGCATCCTGAAGAAAATGTTACACATGCTCAGAAAATTTATATATGTATCAGTGCATGTTTAAATGGATAAATTCTGTGTTAGTTTTTCAATATTTTTTTTAGCTGTCACAGTTAAATTTCTAATTCTGACACAGTCTATACCGGGGTTGAAATAAGCCAATTCCCCATATGAGGAAATTTTGGGTTTATTTGTGTACTATATATATATATATATACACAAATGCTCAATATCAGAGCAGAGATAGAACATTAGTAGATATAGACAGTGAACATTGCTTGAGGCATGAACCTGACAGTCACTCTGCAATGTTGATTCTTATCTCCAGACTGACTATATATATATATATATATATATATATATATATATATATTTTTATTATAATTGACTACAATAAAACCATTTTACATTGCTGCACAAAAACTTTCATGTTTCAGAACTATAATGGTCCTTCTTCAGGCAATGGTAGATAACTTGTGATAAAAATGATTTATTTGGGAAATTTGAAAACATATTGTTACCTCTTTAAAAACTTAAAAGGTGGGGGCCTAAGGTCAGAATTAAAAAAATATACTTGTGGGTATGTCTAAATTAATCAATTGAAAAATTAAAAATAAGGTCAATAAATGCCACAAACTGTGGATTCTTACTCTATCTGTTCTTTTATTTCTGATATATATATATATATATATATATATATATATATATATATATATATATGATTATAATGAGAATAGACATTTGCCCACAGGAATCATTCAGCATTCATTGACCAAACACTGTTACTGTAAGTTGAAATTTATAAAATCTTTCTCAGTTTTTCAGGAAAATTAAGTCCACTGTTAACAATCTTTCAGGGATGGGTAGGGGTTTCCTTCCTAATTTTTTGTTTAAAGTAGTGTGGAAAATCAACATCTTAATTATGTCATTATTTTCTCTACGAGTTACATATGCTATCCATTTTAGTTGTTATCTCTGTTGGGAGTCTTCAAAAATTGTCATTTCTATTAATTGATAAAGTTCTTTGATGTTTTTTAGCACCAGTCTATAGAATCTGATGAAAGATTATTTTCTTTAGGACCTGGAGGATTCATTCACTTGATGCCATTTTTAATCATTGATCTGAGAAAACTGTTGTATGTAGTTGATAACTGAGACATTTCTGAACAAATTTGATGCAACATATGACATCCACATAAGAGTCTAGATCTGATGATACTATGTTAATGGCCCTGTTATATAAATTGCAATGTGAGTTATTTCTTTTGCTGACAAGCATTCATTCTGTCTTCTTACACTCTTGAAGTACATTTAATAATTCTTAAATATTACTCTTTTTATTTTCCAGTTGATATCCGGCCAGTATGTGAATCCAACTCTAAGTGCTAACACTCAGGTTGAGGTGGAAATAATCGGCATTCCTGTCGATTGTGCTAAGCATAAAACTAAAGTAGTTCAACGCAATGCCTTAAACCCAATCTGGAATGATGTCTTTAATTTCCAGGTAACAATGTTGTTTTTGCTATTTCAAAACGCAGCCTTGTTGATTTTTATCATTGTTTCAAACTTTACCAAGTTTTTTACAGTAATGTTCACCCTGTACAAGGCCCGAGAGCCACTTGAGGTAGAGGCTTATATTAACGAGTAGTTCATATGAGTAGGAGGGGAAAATAACAGTTAACTCTAGACTTGAACAGATTATGATTATAGTGATCAGGATAACATCCTCTTGGGAGTCTGTTCCACAGGGGGGGTCATTCAAAATTTGCATCTGGCACACTATGGAAGGCCACATATAAGGCAGTCTTAATTTTGTTTGCATTCACCTTCTCCTTATCTCTCATTTGCTGGTACATGGCAAACACAGCCACCAACCTGGTCAGTCACAAGGGAATGACATGTTCTAGCCATTTCACATTGCACAGTTAAATGTAACCACCCTTTCTACTCCAACAGCTTCTTCTCTCGCACTTCCTGACAGAGGAACTCCCTTCCTCATACTTGTTTCTCTCATAGGTATAATCTTCAAAAATTTAAATGTAATGTCAATTGACATTTTCTGATGCCTTGATATTGATCCCCATCTTTCTCGTTATCCTTTCCTCAAACACCCCTCTTTACTCTTACTTTCACTCTCTGAAACCGTTTGCATGCTAGTGGCACTCCCGCCTAGTTTGGGATGAAATGCCTAAAAAGAAAAAATTAGTTTCTTTTTTCACCCATCTCACCTCTGGAAATCTCTTTCCTCACGCTTCTCGCCTCTGGAACTCTCTTTCCTCACGCTTCTCGCCTCTGGAACTCTCTTTCCTCACGCTTCTCGCCTCTGGAACTCTCTTTCCTCACGCTTCTCGCCTCTGGAACTCTCTTTCCTCACGCTTCTCGCCTCTGGAACTCTCTTTCCTCACGCTTCTCGCCTCTGGAACTCTCTTTCCTCACGCTTCTCGCCTCTGGAACTCTCTTTCCTCACCCTACTCACTTCTGGAACTTTCTTTTTTCACCCATCTCACATCTGGAACTCTCTTTCCTCACCCTACTCACTTCTGGAACTTTCTTTTTTCACCCATCTCACCTCTGGAACTCTCTTTCCTCACCCTACTCACCTCTGGAACTCTCTTTCCTCATTCTTCTCACCTCTGGAACTCTCTTTCCTCATTCTTCTCACCTCTGGAACTCTCTTTCCTCATTCTTCTCACCTCTGGAACTCTCTTTCCTCATTCTTCTCACCTCTGGAACTCTCTTTCCTCATTCTTCTCACCTCTGGAACTCTCTTTCCTCACCCTTCTCGCCTCTGGAACTCTCTTTCCTCATTCTTCTCCTTCTGGAACTCTCTTTTTCCTCACCCTTCTCACCTCTGGAACTCTCTTTCCTCATTCTTCTCACCTCTGGAACTCCTTTCTCAACCTTCTCGCCTCTGGACTCTCTTTCCTCATTCTTCTCACCTCTGGAACTCTCTTTCCTCATTCTTCTCACCTCTGGAACTCTCTTTCCTCATTCTTCTCGCCTCTGGAACTCTCTTTCCTCATTCTTCTCGCCTCTGGAACTCTCTTTCCTCATTCTTCTCGCCTCTGGAACTCTCTTTCCTCATTCTTCTCACCTCTGGAACTCTCTTTCCTCATTCTTCTCACCTCTGAACTCTCTTTTCCTCACCCTTCTCGCCTCTGGAACTCTCTTTCCTCATTCTTCTCACCTCTGGAACTCTCTTTCCTCATTCTTCTCACCTCTGGAACTCTCTTTCCTCACCCTTCTCGCCTCTGGAACTCTCTTTCCTCATTCTTCTCACCTCTGGAACTCTCTTTCCTCATTCTTCTCACCTCTGGAACTCTCTTTCCTCATTCTTCTCGCCTCTGGAACTCTCTTTCCTCATTCTTCTCACCTCTGAACTCTCTTTCCTCATTCTTCTCACCTCTGGAACTCTCTTTCCTCACCCTTCTCGCCTCTGGAACTCTCTTTCCTCATTCTTCTCACCTCTGGAACTCTCTTTCCTCATTCTTCTCACCTCTGGAACTCTCTTTCCTCACCCTTCTCGCCTCTGGAACTCTCTTTCCTCACCCTACTCGCTTCTGGAACTTTCTTTCCTCACCCTACTCACTTCTGGAACTTTCTTTCCTCACCCTTCTCGCCTCTGGAACTCTCTTTCCTCATTCTTCTCACCTCTGGAACTCTCTTTTCTTAGTAACATTATCACCTTGCTTGGAGTAGATTGATTTTTAAAAATCCTTTTGATTTTAAATCAGAAATCATCTAGAAGAATTATTGAATCAGCTATGATATTACAATTCAACTAATCAAAAAGTAGACTTTTATAACATATCACTTTTTCTAGCTAAGATAATACTTAAAAAATATAATAGCAAAATCTATACTGGTTAATCATCTAAATAAAAACTTTAATGAAATTCTTTAATTTCCTTAATACCTAAATAATATATATCACAAATTACAATTTTTAATTATCAGTATTCTGTATTTTCTTTGGATATACACACTATTTTTCTTATCTTAACTTTTACTTACTTATTTATTTTAATATTAAATCCATATTTACATTTTATTTTAACATATTTCTTATATTCAAATATCACTGATTTGTTCACAGATAATTATTTTTATGTTACAATTTATTGATTGTTAAAATTTTTAAAATTAACCTCCATGTTTCTAAACAGTGCAGTTATCATGGTTACTGTTTATTGCTTCAGATTATTCAGCCATTTTGAAAATGCTTGTATTGATGAAAATGTTAACAAGAAAATAATAAAAGAATTTAAACATGCAATTGGCTTTCCCAAATTTCATCTTAGATACTTTAGATCTTTCATATCAATCATTTATCAATTCACTTTGTTGCGGGCCAGTGTACACATTGTGCGATAAACACGTGTCTCCTGAAATGCCCACAACAAACATGGCAGACTCTGAGTATGAGACCACCAAGAAAAATGTAAAGAAACAACAATGATCAATATATATGTGTACAAACAAATGATAATGTATTAACAACAAAAGGATTACAAGTGACAAAGACAATAATGTGTGTAACAAATGAATGTGTTAACTTCTTAGTCAAAAGTATGTGAAGTAAGTGAATTTTCCTATGTACATGTGTGTGATAAGACTAGAAGAGAATGATAAAAAATTATTGCAGAGTATTTATAGTCCTGAGAGTGTCTCCTAGTAGTGGTTTTGAAAATTAGGAGGTAACCTGACAACTTTATATCACATAAATTACTCTTCATGAAACTAATAGATATTGATGTGTCTTTGCTATGAAATAAATATTAGCAAATTTATATTTTTACAAACTATTACTTAATGATCTTCTTTCTGCAGATAATGTTTGTTGACCTAGCCTTCCTTCGATTCATTGTCATTGACACCAGTACAGGTCACATGGTGTCCCAAAGACTCTTATTACTAAAACACCTGCGCCCAGGTAAGCAAATATATTTTATCTTTTTTTTCTTTTTTTTTAAAACTATTTTTCAAATTTACAGTGAGTTAAGGTATTTTAATAATATTTTCACTCAGTGTTAAAGACTTTTCTGCAAAAAAGAAGACCTTAACAAAGGCACCAAAAACTTATATAAGTTCAAGGTCATAAAAAATTACAAATTTTTTGAACTAATCAGAAGCCTTTTCATGATTTTTTTTTCTCAATCAAGGTCAAAAATCTTCCAACTACTGCAAGGGTCTCACACATGTGGACCACAGACCAAACTGTGATCCACGGACTAGCTATCCGCAGCCTATAGGGATCCATTTTCATGACCAATATTTTCCTCAGAATTAAATTTGTCACCAACCTCTTCCATAATTCTGAAATAGCAGTCTTGAGTTTGACTTACCCACCAAGTGCAGACAGTGACTCAATCAATTTTTGGGCCAGATGTGTCTGTTCTAGTTCCTCTCCAGGGAAGTGAAGAAAACTTGACATCACACATTGTACATCTGCTACCCAATGAAATGGTTACAAATTTACTTTGCAACAATGTCTCAATCTCTTATTTCTTTTATTTTATAAGAAATAAATTTGGCACCTAATGTTAGGAAAAGCTTACCATACTTTAAAATTCTTTTAATGTAAGAAAATGGACTTCTCCAAGTGGGCCCCCTTTGGAGTGTGCACAGGCACACAAACTGATGTTGATCCACACACACACACACACACACTGGAGTGATGTTTCCCCACCACATTGAAAATAATTCTGGCCCTCAGCATCTTCAACTCAAAAAAGGACACCTTTTTGTGTCCTTGAGTGTTACAAACCCTAAGGACACAAAAAGGCCTTTATGAAATTTTACAGATTCCACAACTCTAGTGAACAACATGCTTCCACCAGAACTTTCTACAACTGTATTTCAAATGTATTTAAATGTATAATTTTATTCCTCATACACGCATACATACAAAGAAGGTGCAATGGATAAATTGTCATCTAACTTATGCAAAAATGAAAATAACACTGACATCTCATTTTAACAGATATATTTATCAACATGACATAAAAATATCTTGAAATACTAAAGAGAAATTTGTTCAATAAAATCACCATTGGCTTCAACCACAGCCTCCAGATGACTTTAAAATCTTTTTCATCTCTTCTGGATGGTCTTCTTGTTTAAGTTGGTGAATGCTGCCATAATCTTTGCATTCAGTTCATATTTGGTGTTACAAGGAGTTTTGTTGGCCTTGCGCTCAACTGTACCACACATAATAATCAAGGGGGTTGCAGTCTAGGAAGTTATATAGCCAGATGTAAGGGGTGATGTGGTCACAGAAATTGTCTGACAGCCATAACTGGGTTTTCCTGCATGTGTGGCATGGTACAGAGCCCTGTTCCCAGACATAGGGTCTTCCAGCAGCCACCGTCTTGACCCAGGACTACACTAACCATTCAAAGCACTTGATTTAGACCTCTATGTTGAGTCTGAGGCCCTGTGGGAAGATGAATAAAGGCATAATGTCGATATCTTTTGTGAGCACTCCAAACACCATGATGTTGACTAGATATATGATTCAACGCTTTCTGAATCCTCTGCACAGTCCTCAGATTGACACCCAAACACTCTGAAATGTTCGTATTGGAGCTTCCGGCACGATACGGCATTCTGTTTCCAAATTTCTGGTGGAGTGAATTGTGTCATGGTGCTGTTTTTTCTGACAGTTGGTGCCCACCTAACCTTACTATACTGTGCAGTCAACAAAATCAAAATAAACAAGGCACAAAATAAAAAATATAAAATGACGACAATTTATCCATCGCACCCTTTACACACATTATTACTGAACAGTTATTATTTCATATACACCTTTGTGCAAATTAATAAATTAATTAAAAAAACTGTTTTAGTTTCCTTTCTTTCACCATTTTGGTCAGTTTTAGACCCACTGGAGCGGCAGGGTGTAATCGATTTCTATTTTTAGCTCAAATTAGGTTATTTGCAGTGGTGTGCAGTAATATTAATCTATTTTCAGATGAAATTTGTTTGGCCTGGAAAAATATTGATTCATCCATGACTGCATCAGATTATTATCATGTCTAGACACTATTGCCTCGACTGTCAATTAGTCATGATTGTAAATAATTTTTTAAAATTGATTTGCAGGTTATCGACACGTGAGATTACGCAACCCTTTGAACCAACCAACAGAGCTGGGTACTTTGTTCATTTACTCCAAATTGGAAGAGGACCAGCTTGACCAAGCCAACAATGCTGATGCAAACATTGAGGCTTCAGGCAAACGACGTTCAATTCTGTCCAAAGTGAAAGAATTCTCAGACGGTACCAAAATAGAAGGTGTCAAAGAGGTATATATACCTGTCTTGTTATTGTCAAATCCATGATAACATGTCGTGTCCACTAAAATATCAACTACAATATTTATAAACCAATCACACTTAAGAAAACACTTACATCTTAAAACACACCAATGAAATTATAGATTACAAATCAGAATGTTTGTTGTATTAGTCATCATCATTTTTAGATAGATACCGACCAAATATCGTACGGACAATATTTATAAACCAATCACACTTAAGAAAACACTTACATCTTAAAACACACCAATGAAATCATAGATTACAAATAAGAATTTTTGTTGTATTAGTCATCATCATTTTTAGATAGATACCGACCAAATATTGTACGGACAATATTTATAAACCAATCACACTTAAGAAAACACTTACATCTTAAAACACACCAATAAAATCATAGATTACAAATCAGAATGCTTGTTGTATTAGTCATCATCATTTTTAGGTAGATACCGATCAAATATCGTACGGACGTAGTAGAAGACATACCACGTGACTTCTTAGGGCCAATTAGAAATAAATAAATAATTTAATTCTGGAGCCGATATTGTTCGGAAAAAGTGTATAAGAACATATGAAATCCGTTCCCAAAACAATATACACGCGGCTGCCACCAAATTTCACACACCTCTCGCTGATGACCTTCATAACCTCATGTCAAAAACGACAGTGTTGACAAACTCCAGATCACGGCAACACTTCTAACAGTAAGAAATATCTCTCGTATCAGTTTTTACTATGTATCACGCACACACATGTTGACTTTTTCATACAAACACACATATCACAACATTTTATTGTTTCTCACACACGTACACAAAGACAGTTTATATTTTATTTCAGAACTTTATCAACCCAAACAAGACATTACTTTCCAACTTTTTGTATTCCTATAGTTATATTAAATCAATGTTTATTTGTTGAAAATACACCGTCTTTTATACCGAATTTTATTCCTTCAATGAAAAGCGTTTGATTATTTTAGACAGCCAAATTACGAGCGACCCTGTAACGATATTTTATTAATGTATTGAATCCCGACACTCCAAATTTTAATATTCAATGAAAAACCAAGTAGAAGGATTCCTACAAACAAAATAATCCAGCATATTATAAGTAATTATTAAAATAAGTAATTATTAACACGAGTAATTATTGCAGTAAGTAACCATTAAAATAAGTAATTATTGCCATAAGTAATTATTAAAATAAGAAAATTATTAAAATAATTAATTATTGCAGTAAGTAATTATTAAAGTAAGAAAATTATTAAAATAAGTAATTATTGCAGTAAGTAATTATTAAAATAAGTAATTATTGCAGTAATTATTAAAATAAGAAATTATTAAAATAATTATTGCAGTAAGTAATTATTAAAATAAGAAAATTAGTAAAATAAGTAACTATTGCAGAAAATAATTATTTAAATCAGTAATTATTCACTAAGTAATTACTAAAAAAAATAATTATTGCCATAAGTAATTATTAAAATAAATAAATATTGCAGTTTCTACAAAAGAATCTTGAACGAAAACCTTGAGAAAATCTGAATCTCCATGTACACACATGCAGTTTCCCCACAAATAAACTCTTTTTTTGTAGGAAAAGTTAATTGTTTTTATAGCAGTTTGGTGGAAACTTGTCAGGTTTTTGTAGAGCATAGGAATAGATTAGCATATTTCCTATGCAATCCATTCCACTCAGTAAAATTTGAAGCACCACTGGTTAGCAAAAGCCAATTTACATGAGTTTGAAGCATTTTTCTTTCTTCTTTTTTCTTTATTTTTTTTTTCTTCTGCAAAAGCAGCATGTGACATGAAAGGATTTTGGTCTTCGGGGGTTATGTTACTATTTTCTTCTATATAATATCCTTGACAAATAGGCTGTGGTGAGATTTGGGGGCTGTCAATAGTTGTGTTAGCAAGAAGACACAAGTCATCATGAGTGAGGCTTTGAGCATGCTGGCCTTGTTCAGACTATTGATCATGCTAGATATCACATGGTCTCCCAGAAACTGTAACTAAGGTCTGCTCAGTATAGTTGAAGTAAACTATTCAACACCCACAGAGCCAACAGGTGGGGTGTAGAATAGCTCTACGGGTGTCGAACAAATGCAAAATGCACCTGAACAAGCATCTGCTATAGGGATTAGCTATCTGCCCTAGTAGACTGACATCCTTGAATATGAGTGGCCAGCCATTATACATATATATATATATATATATATATATATGAAGAAATATAGTCTTAAGGTGTGCTATATTTATGGGATAAAGTGCTCAATATCAGAGATAGAGCGTGTGTAAATATAAAAGTGAACATAGAAGTCAACACTTAGAGGCGACAGTCTGTTTCATGCTATATGCAATCGTCAAACCACGTGTGCTGTTATTTTTCTCGGCTATTTATATATATACAGGGGGTCAGTGGTGCATTGTGGGTAGTCTATTATGGCGGTTATTTTACCGGAAGTCGTTTATTTATTTATTTGGGTTAAATTATTTTGCTTGTTTTTATTTATTTTTATTTTTTGTTTTTTATTTTTTTTTTTTTTTTTTTTAATCAGTGATTTTATTAATGTAGTTAATAAAAACACCGATTAAAAAAAAAATTAAAAAAATAAATAAATAATGGCATTTAAGCTTGCTCTTGCAGAGAGCTCTTAATTGAGCCTTAATTAGTTGAGCCTTCATCACAATAGGTAGGGAGGTGTAGAAGCAGAAAGCTACAGTAAAGTACAGAACTCAAAACTGATTGCTGTATTTAAGTATTGCATTAATATTTAAGCTTACCTTTCAAAAGTTTAACAATAATTCTTCTACTGCCACTTAATTTAAAGACAATTTGATGTCTTACTTTCCATACAAACAATTATTTTTATTTCATGGGTGATTTTCGCAGGATTTCACAATTAATTTTAATTATTCTCAAATTTACTTCCAAATTATGAAAAATGTTATCGTACAAAAAATTTGTTGCAAAAATCACATAAAAAATCACCAAAAATTATCACAGTAATGAAAACTTGGGAATCCAATATTTCAGAATTGTGGGTCTGTATCTGGCCTGGAATGTTTTTAATTTGCTCACAGAGTTAGCCTGATTCCAAAACGGTATGACATGTTGGGCTACAGCGTCTAGGAATAAAGTTGAAAAAGTGTGACACACTGATATTCGCATATATTATATAGAAGAAGGAGATGAGATATTGATAGTTGTCTCTTTAATTGAAAAAGTGTGATACACTGACACACAGACATTTATTATATAGATAAAGAGAGAAAGAAAGTCTGTTTATGTCTAATACTTAAAGAAGAGCTGAAATCAAATAATTGTGGAGAATTGCCAGGATATTATTAGTATTTCTTTGCCAGAAAATTTGGAATAAAACAAACTGACTCAAGAGTATAAATTAAATAATTATTTACATTATTCGGACTATTATCCTCATCTTTGTCGCCATATTTATCACAACGTTTCAGTCGTTGTATGCTCCAGCCTTCTTCAGGTGGTTGGAAGGCCTGAGCGTACAATGGCCGAAATGTTGTGATAAATATGGCAAAAAAGATGAGGACAATAGTCCGAATAATGTAAATAATGTACATAATACCTCATCTCAGAAATATAGATAAATTAAATAATATATGTTTATTTATTTGATTTAGATTGGAGTAAGTCCTTTGATATTCGGTGTAACAAAAGTTTAAGTCTAAACATGATAGCAGTTGGGAGAAAGTTTTGGCTTGGTATTCAACAGTTTAGAAGTCAGGACTTGGTAGGAGTTGTCATCTTAGAAGTAGGTCCACATCAATCTACTGTGTTTTTCTTGGCCTTAAGAAGGGTAGAAAACATAATTAGTGGATGAACTTTTAAACTTCTTCTTGCATCATGTATGGCAGGTTTCTCTGGCAGTCATGTATCTTGTTCTGTGGTTTCTCTTGCCATCCCTTCTCGTCTGGCTCAGAGCTGTTAGTTTATATCCTTTTGACCAGGCTCACAGACTACTGGCACAAACCTTGGTTTCATCTAACAGCAAAAGTCTCTTTGTGTTAATGTTTTTGATTGGACAAAAATTATTTTCTGGCATCCCTTTCTTTTTTATATATATAACAGCGCCTCTCTGATTTTTGGTAGTTTTAGTCACAAATAGCTAGACTGGTTCAGCAAACTTTCACTATTTTTCACCTGGATTCATTCTTTTCTTCTTCCTCTTTTTTATTTGCATGCTGCCTTCTCATCTGTTGCAAGATATATATATATATAGAAAGAAAGAAAGAAAGAAAGAAAGAGTGAGAGAGAGAGATAAGGGTTTAAAAGAAAGGGAAAATGCCTTATTTTCATTTGAATTCTTTTTATTTTTATTATATATTTTATTTTCATTTTTTTTCTTCTTCGGACTCACAATACAGTCTCAGTATCATTTCTTAATCACTCCTGGCATTGCTTTTTTAGAGGATTAACATTCTGACATAGCTGTGTTTTCATTTCTTTAATCATAAGAAATATCATGATTTACTGGTTATTAAATTAAACATTTCACAAAAATTATTTGATAAAATTTAGTGCAAAGAAATGATATCTATAATTATATATATATATATATATATATATATATATATATATATATATATATATATATAAGATTATAATTTATAATAATAATTTAGATATATAGGAAAATGAATACATCAGTTTAAACTGAGAATATGGGTGTAAAAAATTTTAAATTCTGTTATAAAAATGCAACATTACCCAATTCAAGCAATGCCAAGCATAGAGCATGTTACAATAGATTTTCTCACTACTCACTGAAAGTGAGACTAGGTTGCTGATAATTACCCAGTAGTGTGTGAGTCTATTGTTATGGACTGAGCAACAAACAGAAAAACTTATGCTGTCCCTTATTAGATATAGTAATTATTGTTGATAGTATTATTGCTATTATTATAGAATAACCAAGCCAAAAATATTGTTCAATATTGCAATCAAAAAAGTTTGAGAAACACTATCATTAACACAATTTTCCTTTATCAAAATCTCTTCCCAAACATGCCTGATTTTTATTGTATTTTATAATTAATCACTTCATTCAAACTTTTTTGTTTTAATATCTACTTTTAATTTACTCATCCTCAATTTCTTTTCACAGAGTACCAACCTTGTGTCCACAGTTGGTAAGCAGAAAAGAAGAATGTTCATTGTAACAATATTTGGACTAAAATCACCTGATGATTACGTGATTCTGAAAATATCCCAGGATACAGTGGTCAGTGATGCAATTACCATGGTAAGTAATACCAGTTCTGTTATGGGTTATATGACAAAAGAATGCTAATTGAAGAAATCCCTTCTCAAAGACTGAATGTCAGTTTCAGGCTGAAACTATATGACTAGCTATTTATTTTAACCATATGTGATGAATTCTTAGAATAGAACCTAAATAACATATTTACATGTATTTACATACTAATAAAGGGTTTGGTACATTTCAGCATAGCCCATTTGGGGTCAGAAAAATAAGTGGACTATTCAGCACAGCCATTTTGGCATCAGACTGTTTTGACGTCACTGTCTTTGACCCCCCCAAAAAAAAAAAATGGATAAAAGATCCCTCTTGCTCATTGCATCAAAAATAAAAATGTATCCATCGTGTATCACTTTGTTTCTTCCATGTTTTGATAAAATATTTGCTTCCATTTTGGAATAAAAACGGCTTTGACGACTGAAAACTATGAAGCTGCGCTGAAGGAAATATAATATAAAAATATCTCCAACTATTCCTTTTCTTTAAATTGGATGAAGTACTAATTTGACTACTAAACAAGAGAGAGAGAGAGAGAGAAAAATATCTCCAACGAATCTTTTTCTTAAATTTAAAAATACCTACAACTACTCTTTTCTTGAAATATAAAAATGCCTACAACTACTCTTTTTCTTAAATTGGACTATTCGAGCATATAATAACAAAGTACTAATTTGACTACTAAATGAGAAAAAGAGAGCAAATTTAACTATAATGACAAAGTAGTAATCTGATGACTAATCATCCCTCTGCTGAAAAATATTTTTGTTGAATTGGCTATGCCAAATCAGCAACATCAAATGGGCTATGCCGGAACCACCCATTCCCACTAATACATACTAGTATCATTTAATATATATATTATATTGTTTTAATTTAACCCACCATAAAAATTCAGGATAATGAATTACTAAATACTAAACACTTCAAATACTTCATCATATGGATCAATTATAACAAATTTAGTACAGGTAATAAGGAAATTGAATATAGGCTGTACTAGAAGTAGTTTTGCACAATGCTAAGGGTTATTTTTTTTATGGCAAGGTTCACACTTTACTAGGCCCAGGGCCAATTGAGGTAGAGGGATATGTTTGGAGTCCATTTGTGTATATAAGAGTGGAAGATGACAGTTAACCTAACTTTGAACAGGTCAAGGTTCTAATGATCAGGGAAATATCCAATTGGGAATCAGTTCCATCGAGCAGTGGTTTGTGGGAAGAAGCTGCTCAAGTGGAATCCAAATATGAAGGGAATGTGGATGGTTTACTACTGTGTAAGTGGCATGGCGTGTTCTTGCTGAAAAGGTTAGCCTTGGTGGTAATATAGTTCATCTGAGAACTTTCCATGGAAGTAGCAGAAGAGTAGTAACATGTTGCTAGAAAACCAAGATATTAACCAAAAACTAAAATCATTCTTAAATAACCTCAAAAAAATGAGACTTTCATAAGAATGTCATGTATTGCACTAAATTTGTTCAAAAATATCTATGCTGTACACAACTTCTTTATGGTTAAAGGTGGCTTTCAGCAAACTAAGCCTGTAGGTCTTAGCAAGGACTATCCTTCTTTAAACATTGTCAACTGATGCTAAAGAATCACAAAGAAGTGTACCAAATAACAGAAACCAAATCACTTAACAACAGTAACAACTAAAATGGTTTAAAATTGCTGTTGTTCCCAGGTTCACCCAGACCCAAAGGAGGAGCACCTGTTAGGGTCCCAGCTCTAGGCAAATAGTGAAACCCCAAACTCAGGTCAAAACACTATGAAAGTATAAAAATACATTTTTATAGTAAACATACCAACAATACATTTTTGAAAAAAGAAAATATTACCAGCAATACATATTTGAAAAAGAAATTACTAATGCTCCCAAGAAAATAAAATTTTGACATTAAATGAACCATAAGAAGTTGACATGGTGCTAAATAAATAAAGAAACAAAAATGATTAGCACATGTAATTCAAAGAGAAAATAATGACATCATCAAGATATTGATGTTCATCATTACTTCAGACACATTGCCTAGTAGATAAAGACGTTGGTTAGATCCAGTGACTAGACCCAAAGTGTTGTGAATTCAGTACCAAGCCACAGCAGTGGTGAACCAAAATCTTGGAGAGTTAAAGGGAAATAACTGAGACATCTGGAAAAGGCATGGCACATGGAACTAGAACATTCTACCCCAGAGGACAAAATAAAGGGTTCGGTTCAAAATTCCAATCACCTGAAGAAGGCTAGAGTGTACAACAACCGAAATGTTGTGAATATGACAATGAAGATGAGGATAACAGTCTAAATAATGTAAACAATGCAAATAATCATAATACCTCATCTAAGAGATATAGACAGATAGAGAATGATTTTATAAATTTCTATTAAAAGTAATGTTAGCTGGTCAGTGAACAAATACTGAATGTTTGCTTATAAGGGATCAGTTATAGTATCATTACCATTTCTCCATGAACATTAGTTTAAACTGTCACATTCTTTAGTATCATTTGTATCATGTTCATTTCACAGGAAAACTTAGAAGTTTTCCAACATATGTATATTATATAAATCTTACTTATTATAAAATGCAGATTGTGTGTGTGTGTGTGTCTGTACGTTTATATATTGGATCGGATTTCCTACATTTTTCAACTGATTTCAACAAAACTTCACAGAACTACATAAAATTACATTGCGGTGGTTCTGACAGCGCCAAAAATTGGAAAAACACAATTGTTTTTGCAAAAAATCAATTTGAAAACACGATAAAACAATTCTGTCGCCAGAATGAAAGTGGGGAAACTCATATCGTGTTATACTTATTATAAAACCCAGGTTGTTTGTGTTTTTGTGTGTGTGTGTGTGTGTGTGTTTTCATTTATATATGGGATCAGATTTCCTACATTTTTCAACCGATTTCAACAAAACTTCACTTTTTTTGGCAGGTAGTGTTTCTTATTGTCTTACACACTTTTTTTTACACTCAGAATGCTTTAAAAATTCCATTTACAAGACAATTGTTTATAATAAAATTCTATTCAATCAGGAGACGCATAACGATTGAAAACAATGTTTTGTTTGAGTTTGGGTTTGACTAATTCATAAAAAAAAAAAAAAAAAAAACTAATTAAGTCATGCGTGTCCGTCAACCTTAAGCAATAATCTTTGTCAATTTTATTTTTCAGTCTTTATGATGATCAATACTTGATCTATCTCTTACTGTTACATCCCCGGGCAATTCCGGGCTCTACTGCTAGTAATATATATAAATTTCACTTTTCAAGATTATAATTTAAACTGATGCCAGGAGAATATGGGTATAAAAATTTTAAAATTCTGTTATAAAAATGCAACATTGCCTAGTTCAAGCAGTGCCAAGCATACAGCATGTTACAATAGATTTTCTTATTATACACTGAAAGTGAGACTAGACTGCTGTTAATTATTCAATAGTGGGTGAGTCTATTGTTATGGACTGAGCAACAAACAGAAAAAGTTAAGCTGTTCCTTATTAGATATAGTTATTATTGTTGCTAGTATTCTTGCTATTATTATTGTTGTTGCTGTTATAATTATTATTGTTATTTTCATTGTTACTTTTATTTACTTTTAAAGGCATTAATAAAAGGAGGAAAATCAGAAGAAAAGGCATCAAACTATGTTTTAGTGGAAGAAGTACAGACTGGTTGGGAGAGAAAAGACCAGGAGAAGCCATGCACACAACGGATTCTGGATATGTCTGAAAAGCTTCTGGCTTCGCAAAATAAATGGAAGGGTTCAGGGAAATTTATTTTGCGGAAAATGAGCGACGTATGTATTTACCAAAAGTTTTTATTATTTATTCATTCTTTCACAATGGAATTGTATCTACTGAAAAATATAATAGTGTAACCCATACTTGAAATATTTAATACCAGTTATCTCCCTTTGTCTCAGTTTCTTCATTGACTCCAGGAGCTGAAAAGAATTGGAAACAAGTGAAATATCTCCACTTTTCTTCAAAATCATTTAGCTCTTGAACTGTTTCTGTGGCTAAACATATCATCAAAAGAAAAAAAATAAAACTTATAATTAACCAAAAATTGACTACTCTTTACATAATTTTTTTAATTTAGTGAGTATGGAATTTAACTTTTGATTTATACTGTTTATTATAGGTCGCCGTCTACAGATATAAAACATCAACTTCATTTACAATGTGAATGAATATACGACAACATAAATACATGAAAATTTCAAATAAAACACAAAAATCTTCATATAAAAGAACACTTTCATAATATATATATATATATATATATATATATATTATATTTGAAATTCTTAATACAAAGTTGCATGTATTTAATTTCAAAAGACTTTGTACCAAAAACAATATGAATTTTTGTACTTGTCTGTTTAGTTTGCCACAAGCACTTTGTTACTTTGACTTCTAGGGGCTAAAGAAGCTGTTTGACTTTTCCGTTTAATGACGTCTTGTGCAGGTTTAGTCATGTCACATGACTGTTTTTAAATCTTGTGAATATTATAAATATTTTTTAAAGTTACTTTTGATTGGGTCAAGGGGAGTTAACTTTTTGTCTGTCGTTACCAGGTAAATTTACCTATTGAGCACTTTTTGGCAGAAGTTCCACCAATTTGAAAAATGTTAAATTCTCATAATTCCAAATATTTTTAAGTTGTATTATTATTATTATTATGAAAATAGAATTTATATAGTACTTCATTCGAGAAATTTCTCTCTTTCTCGATATATATATATATATATATATATATATATATATATATATATATAGTATAGTAGGGAGAGTTGGGCACCCTCTCTGAGAAAAGAGCACCATCACACCAGAAATTTGGAAATGGCATGCTGTACTGCTTAGTATTTATGTAAACATTTCAGAATGTTTGGGTCTAAATCTGAAGACAGTGCAGAGGATTCAGAAAGAGTTGGAAGTACAAGATATTTTTGTATCATTTTGGTAAATATATCTGTTAAAATGAGATGTCAGTGTTATTTTCAGTTTTGTATAATTTAGATGACTATTTATCCATTGCACCCTCTGTGTATACATACATACATACACACATTATATATATATATATATATATATATATATATTATGCTTTTAAATTCCTTAAGGAACATAGGGTCACAAGATATCATTACAGCTTCTATAACAAGCCAGTTTTTTTTTGTGTAAGTTGTTAGCCTACTGCACAACGCCCAATCTAGAGAATCAGGTTTTGAATTCACAGTTGGCCTTCTCCTACACCAGTTGCCACCCAAGGCTATAGAACTCCATCTGTCTTGCTATTTACCCATAGCTGGAGGGAGGATTCATACCTTTCCCAAGGCTATTAGCACATAAGTGAATGTAATGGATTCAACTGAAATTCGAATTCAGCTCTCCAATTCCTCAATGTGAGCCATTATCCATTACTCCACTGTACCTCTCATATATATATATATATATATATATAGAGAGAGAGAGAGAGAGATAATATGCTTTAAACCTCTCAACCACAAAGTATGCCAATGGTCAAGCAAAACTGAATAGTGCCTTTAAACACAGATTTTTCCATGACTCTCAAAATTTTTCTTTAATAAGATTTCTTGAATATTCAGGCCAGTAGATGAAAATAAATACATATATGGATTAATAAATAAATGTAAAATCTACTCAAATTTGGGTATCCACAAAAAATAAAGTTCAAGTTATTACTTAATCTGTCAGATTAATAAATAAAAATCCATCTCTTCCTTTAGAAAAATTACTTTGTTTATGTTAGGATACATCTAGGATATGTCTATTTTAAGAGTCAGAAAAAGATATGAATTTAAAGGCACTATTCAAATATATATATAAACTAAAAAAACCTCATAAGTCAGAACCTGTCTACCTAGGTTTGATCTCACAGATCATCAGAATACAGGCCTGTATTAACCTGATGTTCCATTAGGTGTAACCTAATTAGATAGATTCTGGCTCAATAGTTTTTTTTTTACTTTTTGTTCTATTTAGTGTATTGAGCTCTTTTAAATTTTATCTTAAGTTACTCTGTCAGTGTTTTTTCTTTTGGCTAGACTTTGCGGTGCTGATTGAATATTTTCAAAAGGCATGGATGTTTTTAGTCTTTTTTTTTTTATTGAATTTTTTTCCCTGACATCAGTTTGTTGAATATTTTTTTATTTACCAATTGTTATATGTTTTTTGTTCACACTGCCCAAGTATAGGTATTAAAATAAAATATGATATACATATGTATATATATATATATATATATATGTATGTGTATATGTGTATGTATATGTATATGTATATATATATGTATGTGTATATGTGTATGTATATATATATATATGTATGTATATATGTATTGTATACATATGTGTATATATGTATACATGTATATATGTATGTGTATATATATATATATGTATTTATGTATGTGTATATATATATATATATATATGTATATATATATATATATATATATATATATATATATATATATATATATATATATATATACAAATATAGATAACTATACTCGTTTCAAAAAACCCTCAAATTTTTGATTTGCCAATAATCAAATCAATCTCGTGAGGAAAAAAGTTTTTAAAAAAAGGAGCTAGAAGCATGAAAGTCTGTCGAAAAAAATCGCACAGATGCAGGTCTGAAGCCCAAAGAAAAAACCCCAATATGAGTAAACAACTAACTAACAAAAGAACTCAATACAACCATAGAGCAGACCTAGATAAACTTAGTTAGCCAGACAAACCTACCCAGGTTTCACCTAAGCGGATCGTCAGGGCTTTCCCTGACTAGGTTTATCTATCTATATATATATATATATATATATATATATAAAGAGACGATACTAAGATTAACACTGTTTCATTCTTAAGCATAATCTTCAGGTGATATGTGTTGAGTGGAAACTTGACTAGTCATTGGGGTATTATGGGTTGTTGGGTCAGATACCTCAGTTTATTGTATTATTCTAATGGTTATTGAGTTGATAGAAATGGCTATATTTTAAATTATTCGAATATTGCATATATTGCTTCTAGGTTTGCAGTGGCAAACAAAATTTTCACACGTAAACAACGGCTTGACCTGATGATTTCATATAAGCATAAAACAGAATGTTGACAGTGGATGTTGAATTCAATGTCCACTTTTATATTTACATATGCTCTATCCCCAATATTGAGCATTTTAACCCATAAATATAGCATAGCTTAAAACTATATTATATATATATATATATATATATATACATATATATATATATATATATTCCTCACTGCTAGCATGACTCTGAAACTCAGTAATTCTAGCAGTGAGGGATAATATATATATTTATTAATATATACTTAATAGCTCTGTTATATTACATTGAGCACTGTTTTATTAACACCAGCACTATATGAGTAAATAATAATAAACAAATTAACAAATCAATCCCACCAAAATAACCAATAGAATAGACTACAACAACCAATCCAAAAATTGAACATAAAAATAACTAAAACTACTATATAACATTAAAAAAATGTTAATACGTTACTCAAAAATCAAAAACCAAATAGAGTAAATAAAATATACAAAATAACAAATAAGTAAATAAGTAAAAAATAAATAAAAAATAATCCAAATAAATAAATAAACAAATTAACAAATTGCCCCCCACTAAAATAACTGTTAGAACTAATGAAAATAAGTAAAAACAAGTAACAATAATAAGTCCAAATAAATAAACTAAAAACTGACCCCCAGCCAAAATAACAGAATAGACTACAGCAAGCAATCTAAACATTGAACAAATAAATAGCTTTAATTATCTTCCCAGACCAAGACTATTAAATAAGTGACCTAAGCAAATCCTGCCCAATTTTTTTTTACTATGTTAATAAAACATCAAAAACCACAAAGAATAAATAATACAAAATGAAAATGAAAAACAAATAAATTAATCCAAACAAATAAATAAATAAACAAACAAGCCACTCCCATAAAAATAATGGCCAGAATAGATTACCCACAATGCACCACTGACCCATATATATGTAAATAGTCAAGGAAAAATCCAACATTCGCAGCCTGACGATTGCACCTGGCATGAAACTGCCTGTCGCCTCTGAGTGTTGACTTCAATGTTCGCTTTTATATTTATATATGCTCTATCTCTATTAAGCACTTTATCCCATAAATATACCACACAATAAAACATATTTCTTTTTATATATATATATATATATATATATATATGTTTAGGAATGGATTTTTATTTATTAAATATGTAATCGTCAGGCCATGATTGCATCTAGCATGAAACAGACTGTCGCCTCTAAGTGTTGACTTCTATGTTCACTTTTATATTTACACATGCTCTATCTTTGATATTGATATTGAGCACTTTATCCCATAAATATAGCACATCTTAAGACTATATTTCTTGATATATATATATATATATATATAACAGAGCATATAAATTACATAATGGAGAAATCCAAAATTACCTCATGACTATAGACCATTTCAACCAATATCAGTATGCTGGCCTTGTTCAACTCAAATGGTGGACAGTATCAGAACTTAAAATTTAATATTTAAAATAACAGTTGAAAGAATTGGTGCATAGCCAAACCATAACATATCAGACAACACAAAGACTGTCCAAGTGGTTGTAAGGGAAGGGCGGATGCTGTCTGGCTTAAATGAAAAATTCACTACACAGATTCAACCTAGATATAAACTTTAAAGTTTGTCATTTATTACCTATTTTGGGCCTGCTAAGAAAATATCAATCTTTGAGACATGTCTAGAGGGTATTTCTTTCCCATTTTTCCAACCCCAAAAGAATTTATAATTGCTCACTTTTAATACGATGAGATGAAACTCATTCATATTACTGTAAATGAGTGAAAATTGTTTTTCTAATATTTGCAATTAAAAGTGGAATGTAAGGAATTTTAGTTTTTAACCTAAAATTGTTGGAGCATTTTTTTTAATATTCAGTCACTGTATTGTGCATTAAAAATCAGAATTTCAGCATCATTTGAGAATACACTTCACAAGTTTTCAATTTTAAGGTAATAAATCAAAAGTTACCGTTTTCATGTTTTCAAGAGAATTTTATTTTGAATTCTCCTTATGAAACTTAATCAAAAGTCTATCAAAAGTTGGAAACTTAGAAAATAAATACCAAAGAATAACAGCACAAATTATGGATATTTTTCATAGTAAATACATTGAATGTGAAACTGATAATATTTCAGTTGGTTATAAAGGTGTATCAGAAATCTTACTTTAAATTTACTATTGATGCTTCAAATGTAATCAATCAATCTTAGGTGGCCATCACTTTATCTCATCTTTAAGTAGAGTCTAGTCTGTTATGTTAACTAGGAATGTAATGTTCACAAAAATTTTAAATCATTAGGATTTTTTATGTTTATTTCTATGAATTTGTATAAATTGTAAAAATTCTGGAATAATATATATATGTATTTTTTAATCTGTGTTATATAAGTTTCTCAGTTTCTTCTGCTTTTCACTGAGCAGGATCCAAGCAGTCGAGCATGGATGACAACAATGCTAACCAATGAACAAAAGGTGAGTTGAAAGGTCAACTTAATTTGGGTGAGGTTCTTTTCATTACCCTTTTGTAAAAATAGAATTATGAGGTTTATTCTCATGTAATCTTGTCTAGCTATAAACAAAAACTTAAAAAAGGACAATCGCTCCATACTTTCTTTTATAACACCTTTTCATTTTAGAGTGATATTTATATATATAAATTTTTATAATTTATTTATAATTTATAACTTATTTATTTTTTATAATTTATTATATTTTTATAATTTATAACTTATTTATTTTTTATATATACAGGATGTTGCAGCAAAATCCAACACTTGACAAAAAAGAAAACGAAATAGGCAATAAAAACAAAAGTTATATATGCAGAGTTTATTTAGCAACAGTTAGTTACATACTACATTATTTTTCAATGTAACCGCCAGCGGCGGTGACGACCATCTCAAGGCGTGCACGAAATGAGTCACATGCTTTGGTGACCATGTCCTTGTCCATAGCAGCAAACACCTGCAATATGGCAGCCTTCAGAAAGTCAACCATGTTGTTGGCGTGCTTGTTGCTCTTGGCCTCAATCACACTCCAGAAAAAATAGTCAAGGGGGTTGCAGTTGTGTGAGGAGGGTAGTCACAAGTCTGGCCACCAGTGGTGAGGAACATTGTTGAACAGCCACACCTTGTTCATCTTGGCCTTGTGTGCAGTAGCAGAGTCCTGCTGGAAGATATAGGGGTATCTGGCGGTGATCTCATCCATCAAGGGCTTCATTACACTCCTCAGCACCTCCTGGTAGGTCTCAGTGGTGACTCTCAGGCCCTTTTGATAGAAGAACGGAGGCATGACGTCCCCCTTGCTGGAGATGACCCGTGCTTGAGCTTGTTCAGCAAAGCTGCTGCCTTGATCTTCCCCAACTCCTTGGAGGCATTTATGATGAGCATGCAGTGAAACTTGTGGTAGGATGAGTAACCAATGTCCTTCTTGATCGTTCGGCAGATCATCAACTTGTGACAGCTCATGTCGGCAGTGATTTTGTCATAGCTCTGGCTTCCATCATTGTTGACTGTCTCCTTGATGGCTGTGACGAACTTGTCAGTCCTAACAGCTGAAGAACGAATGTTGTGGGCCTTTTGTTTGGCAATAAACTTGTCCTTGTCCTCACATGCCTTCCACTTCCTCCAAATGCCTATGTCCATGGTCCTCTTGAACCCCAACCAGGCCATCACTTCCACAGGCTTCTTCCTAACATGAAAAGAAGCTACTACCGCTGCTCTGCACTCATATTCCATCCGGGAAAAGAGTAGAGAGAAAAACGTTAGTTAGTCGTCAAACTGACGGGTATCTGCATTTGCAACTTTTGTTTTTATTGCCTATTTTTTTTTCTTTTTGTCAAGTGTCGGATTTTGCTGCAACACCCTGTATAAAAGATAGTGGTTCAGAATGAGAAATCTGAGAGCCAATTTTAAATTCCATTCACTTACATGCAAATACCCTTGGGAAAGGTATGACTTCATCTTCTCTCATAGAAAGAAATGGTAAAATATTGTAGGAAATCTTATTCTAGTCAGTCATGAATCAAAAAAGATAAGATCGGTCAAACATGCAATCGCATTTGACTAGTGACCTTGTGGTGAACCCAAATGTAAAATAAAATATGAAAATTAAATATCTGTCTATATCTCTGAGATCAGTTATTGTGATTATTTACATTATTTATATTATTCGGACTGTTATCCTCATCTTCATTTCCATATTCACAATGTTTTGGCTGTTGTATACTCTGGCCTTCTTCTCAAGGACACATGGTTCAATGGATAGAGATGTTGGTTAGATCCAGTGACTAGACCCAAAAAGTTGTGAGTTCAATACCAGGCTACAGCAGTGGTGAATCAAAACCTTGGAGATTTGAGTTAAAGGGAAATAACTGAGACATCCAGAAAGGGCATGGTACGTGGCATGTGGAACAAGAACAGTCTACCCTGGTGAATGAAATAAAGGGTTCAGTTCGAAATTCCAATCACCTGAAGAAGGCCAGAATGTACGACTGCTGAAATATTGTGAATATGGAAATGACAATGAGGATAATAGTCCAAAAAATAATAATGAAAATAAAATATATAAACAAGAAAAAAGACTTAAGATCAAAAGAAGGTATTTACGCTTTCCTTTAAAACCCTTATTTCTTTTTTCTATATATATCGCTCGCTCTCTCTCTCTCTCTCTCTCCCTCTCTCTCTCTTTCTCTCTCAACTAATGAGAAAGCAACCCTCAAATATAAAGAGGGAGAAGAAGAAAAGACTGAACCCAGCCAAAAAAGTTTTTAGGACCAGAGTTTACTTATCTGTGACAATAAATCTACCAAAATAAAAGAGGATCCATGAAAAAAAATGAAAAAGAAACGAACACCAGGAAATAAAAGAATTTTGGCTAATCAAAATAAATTAACACAAAGAAACTTTTCATGTTAGCCAAAACCAAGCTTCATGCTAGTAGTCTGGGAGTCTTGTTGAAAAGGATATAGACAGACAGTTGAGAGGCAAAAGAAGAGAACATTTGTAACATTTGTCTCTTAGCACTCATAACCAATATTTGAGGTAAGAAAACTCCAGACAATTCCTTTTTTTATGCTACTAAATTATCTGTTGTGTGTAGGGGGCAGTCGGCAGAAGTAGTACTTTTGTTGCTCAGCTGCTGAACCTTATTGTTAAGGTGGACAGGTAACACTGGTCTTCACCCATCCCCCAAAATCTCTTATGTGTTGGCTCCATGCACCACACTCCTGTAAACAACATCAGTAGGCAAGGCTAAACTATGTGAAAAGTCAGTGTTTGCACTACTAGGTGGATGATCTGCACAAGCAGACAATGGCTGGCTAATGGATTCAACGACCAAGTGCACAGACCAAAGGCGATCTGCATCATATCAGTGGTTGTGGCTGTCGACCAAGGACTTGGAGAGAAGTTATCCACCAAGTTATCTGTAAGCCTACCCAAAGGATTATGAAGCAAGAGAAGCAAAATATAACTATGCCAGATCAGTCAAGGCCTGGATTAACAATGACAGAGCATCCTATTGATGTAGACTGTTGTGGAAAAGAGTGTGGCTTCTATATTCGGATCCGCCCTAAGTTTACAAAAGTCAAGGAGATAATAATGATGATGAAATTATCTGTACACACATTAGACACATAATATAAAAGGCATATAAGAAAGACTGTATACAATTTACTCATTCTTTATCTTATCAATTTGTTGGATTCTGATCCATATTTGGTTCTCAACTCACAATTTATTCACTATTATTATTTTTTATGTCTCTAACAACCATTGTCACCCATATAATAAATAATACTAATTTTTACATTTCCACATTTTGCTGTTCCTCATTTTCCACACATATTTTTGTATGTATAAATGTTATAGGGTTTCTAATTATTTACCTGACGTTATAAATCCCTGACAATCTTTTCTTTGCTTTTTTTTCATTTTCCTTCAAGACAAGAATTTTCAAATTTTCCCATACAGAGATTACTTCATAGTTTCTCTTACATATATTCTAATCAATACTCTTGTGCTTTACAACTGTTATGAAGTAAAACTTAAGAACTTGTTATTTTGGAGTTGACTGTAGACAACTGGAATCATGGATAAAGGGAAGAATATTGTGCCTTGTGTCTCTTCTATGAAAAATATAAACCATTTCTTATAGCATAGAGCAGACACAAAAAGGTCTAACTAGTTTTAAATATTCTCTTCTCTAGAATATGAAAAAACAATGCTCTACAAAATTTTCAACCTTTTGATTAGGCTGATTAATTTAATGACATATCAACCTTTATTGGGCTATTTAATGTCTGATAAAACAAAAATGACATTGAATAAACAGATGAGCAGAATTATGTCTGGTTCGCGCCTAAGTCAAATGGTAGATTTGATCTGGATTGAACTTCAATTGTAGTTCCACAAGCAAGAAGTGTGATAGAAAAAAACTGTTAGCACAGAACATACAGGTACATCCAGCCATTTCAACTAAGTTTATTATTATGTTTAAAAATATAGGAAATTGTTCAGATCTGCAATAACTGTTGTTGGGTAATTGAATGACAAAGTATAAAAAATTCTTTGTAACACATTTCATCTTCAAAAAAGACTTCATGGAATTATATATATATATACATAGGGAGAGGGGGGGAGATATAAATCTAAACATCAGTTATAATTATACCCTGAAGATATAAGAATGTTAAATTTTGAAATTTCTGGTGCCCAATGTGTCTCAACACACAGCTCAGCTGATTACATTCAGTTTCCCAATGATTTTGCCATTTGTTTTCTTGTCCTTTTTTTCTTCTATCTTGTTTTTTGAATGAGAATGAACTTTCAGTCTTTTTTGTTTATTCATTTTTGTGTTCTTTCAGAAAAAGTTAGACTCAACAGATGAAGAGTCATCAGTATGGGACTCTGAAGAAAACATGTTTTTAGTTTGTGTCTATAATGTATCTCCTGACCAACCTTACACTGTGTTCAAAGCCCCCGTGTCCAGTACAGCCCAGGACATAATAACACAGGTGAGATATATCTTCACTATCATACACTATGCACAATGTCTATCACCAAAATTCTTCAGTTATAGAATGGTGTTGCAAAATAACATGACCAAACAATGCTTTTTATCATAGCTCAAAGATGATAGTATTTAATTTATAAATATATAATTACTTTGAATATTGTTGAATTCTCCACTACATAATCAAAACTAAATATTGATCCCAAACCTATTTCTTAAATTGAATTCTAGAGTGTCAAAATTCTAGCCAATCAAAAATCAGTACAGGAAAAACTTATCTAGATTCTATCTGGTTACCCCCACCTTGTCTGCCAAGACAGCTACTAGGTGGCACTGTGCAGGAGTATAAAAGTACAAAACAAATAAACATTTTTTGTTAGTTCTAATCTTAGAAATGACTATTAAAAACATCCCCCTCTCCAAATTTATAGACAAATCATACAGATGCATGCTGGGATTTATTCCTATCCAATAAAATTAACCACTTCTCAGTCTCATCCACCATATTTTTGTTATTTCTTACCTTGAAGTCAGAATGCTATAACCACTTGACTGTATCCCTTTTGTGTGTGAACACAATTCTTGCTGTGAGCTTTTTACCTTGCTTTTTGATTTGTATATATATTATTTATTTAGTAATATTTTTCCCTGTCCTTTTTCTTCCTTTTCTTATTTCTTATTGAGAACTTCATCAATTTCATTTGTTGAGCATTTTGCCAATTTCACTTACCCATGGACAATTACTCTACACTTTTCCTCTCTTTTGTTCCAAAATGTAGTATTGTCATCAAAACCTTGTCCTTGGTATGAAAAATCTTTTTCAGTCAACAACTGAACTTTACATCTCACCCACACATAATTCCTAACAACAAAGCCTATATAATATTTTTATTCCTTTTCATCCATTTGTGCACTGAAAAGTATGTTTGCTTGTATTGTTATTAATTATATAATAATAAAGTATGTAAAATTCCTGTACGTGTCGAAATTTGTTCCTTTTGAAAATTCTGTATTCAATTTCCACAAAGGTTCTCAAACTCAGACTCATCCATTACAAACTGTAACTTCCGCACAGTTACAACTGCTATATGGATGTCATTTTCTAAGCGTATCTTAGATGTGACACAAGGCCAAAAGTATGGGGCACCCAATGAAGATCAAACTCACTATTCAGTTGTAATTGATCTAGTGAGACATGGTGGAGTAATGGATAGTGGCTTGTATTGAGGAATCAGAGAGCCAAGTTAGAATTCTAGTTGAATCCATTACATTCACTTACGTACTAATACTCTTGAGAAATGTATGAATCATCTTCATCTCCCCCCAGCTATGGGAAAACAGTAGGACAAACTGGGAGTTATATAGCCTTGGATGGCAACTGGTCTACAGCAGGAAGAAATGGCATCCTACTGCAGGAAAAAATCTGCCTTGTCAGTCATGTATCGAAAGATACATGATCACCTAAGTGTGTATCATGCATGGTACATAACTAACTGACTGAGACGAGCTTGCTAATCACGACATCATTTCGAGTTGCCCTCTCATATGGATGTCATGCATGGCACCCAAATCATTTAGAAATGTCTAATCTATTATCTGTATACAAGTGTTTTCTCAGATCAGTGATTAAAAATGACTTCAAAGGAATGAATCCTCTTGGCCTTAAAAAAAATAGTTCTGTATCAGATGCTATAGGCTGGCACTAGAAAATCACTAAAAGCTTTATGATATAACAAAAAGCACATTACCTGAAGATTTTCAACAATAACAAAAAAATGGATAAAATATAACTAGAAGAGAAAATAATGATATAATCAATGGTGTCAACTTTTCACAGTACCATAAACAAAAGGTGGGTAAGGAAACTCCCGTCAAAACTAGAAAGAGCAATAACAGTGGACTTGAAAAATCTAATTTCCTGAAAAACTCTTTTGAGAAAAATATTTTATGAATTTCAAGTGACAGTAATTCTAACTCCTCAGTCAATGATTGCCAAATATTTCCTGTATGGAAATCGCTAATTTCACCATTATCATTTCCTAGTCAATCTGTTTTCACTTTGATGAGTTAGCTTTAGAATCCTCTTTATAGTTATAAAAGTATTCTATAATTAACAGCTATATATTTTTTCCATCACTCACAACACAGACATTTCTGCCAATTGCATTTTAGAATTTTTTATCTTCCCGTTACATGTCACCCTGGCCTATTTGTGAACTCTGTCATAAACACTATTTGAATTGTTATCCAAATACCATCGACAATATATTTACAAATAACAAAAAATATACTTATTTCTCATCAAATATATTCTATTTAATTTCATATTTGTGACTTACTTTTATATCCCCTCAAAAATTAAATGCAGATTTTATGTATTTTAAGCAAAGATTGGTATTATGTTGTTTTGGTGGCTGCTGCTGATTGTTGCTGGCCTCGTTTTGACAGTGAAAGCATTTACTGTTAATTCTCTTTAGAATAAAGAGAAGGTTGGGTTACAGCTGAAAATAAATGAGAGAATTAAAAGGGTCAAAAAAATTCTTAAAAAAGAGTACGGACAATTATTCATTTCAAAAATGAAATACTGAATTATAAAAAAAACATTAATTGTATAAAAGTCATCGCATTTCAGTGCCAATAGTCAAAAAGTGTCTACACGGCCTTGTGAGTGATGAATTATTTTCCACCCTACAACTCCTTCCCCACAGTGAAAACATTGAAAGTTTGTCACTACTCTGTCGCTATTTCCATGGAAAGTGCTCAGATGAACTACATTATATAGTTCTATCAGTTTTAAATGTCACAGCTAAGACATGCTTTGCCATACATAATGTAGCAAACTATCCTCATTCCTTTTGTATTCTACTAGTAAAATGTAATTTCCACTCAAATAGGTTCTTCCCACAAACTGCTACTTTGTGGAACTGACACTCAATCTTCATCATCATCTTTCGACCTCCCTATGGTTAGTCGGAACTCCATTGACAATCCCTTTCTACACTGTTTGGTCCTGTATTGCTGACCCCACAACCCCCAATGTCCAACCTGTTGAAGAGATAGATCTATAGATCATCGTCCTTCGACCTCCCTATGGTTGATCGGAACTCAATTGACAATCCCTTTCTACACTGTTCAGTCCTGTATTACTGTCCCCAGATTCCCAATGTCCAACTTTGTGTCCTGAGCTATGATATCTAAGAAAATCAATTTTCATGAGAAGACACTACCAGAAGGATGCCATAGGAGTAAGGATGAGATGATTTCCCTGTCCGCTCAGTGGCAGTGGCCGGCAAACTGTAATCGTTTTTATTTGAGCTTAAGAGAGATTAGTTTCAGTTCTCCGTATATTGTGTTAAGTGTTGCATAGGATTTCCAACTGATGTTCTGAATTTTTCTAACTAGATTTGTATATGTTCCATCCAGTCATCTTTCAAGATGAACAGTCAATGTCCAAGTTTCTGATCCATAGAGTAAGACTGGTTCAATCAATGTTTGAAAGATTTGGTCTTTTAAGGAGGATGGAAGATTAGAGTATCAAATCTTGTGAAGTTTGTTACATGCAACCCATTCAAGAGCTTAACCTGTTTAAGTCTAAGGATAACTACTATTTTCCTATATATCCTCATAAGCCGTGCCTCTTACTCTGCAACTCTCTGTCTTGAGTGGCTCTTGGGCTTTGTACAGAGTGAAAATTATTATTAAAAATATGCTCAGGATAGCTATATTTATTTTATTTCTCTTAGAATCCCTTCGTATCTACATTTTTACTATAACATATTTATTTTATATTCTAGGCAAAAATTAATCTTTTTCTATGAATGTACCTTTTTTAAATACTGTCTGTTTTATATTTTAGGCAATGATGAAGGCTCGTCGCATTAATGTGTGTGATCCAAGAGATTATGTATTAGTTCAAGAACTTGAAATAGTGCTGGCATCTGATGGTCCTGGAGGACAGAGGAACAGCCGTACAATACATAAGAGTGAAAGACATGTCCTCAGTAATGAAGACAATGTTTATAACACACAGAATGAATGGAAGTCATTTGGTAAATTCATTCTTGTCCATAAAGACCACTTGGAAGACGAATTGGATTTGGGGGTAAGTTGACAAAATTACATACTTGCAAATAAATTTCATCCTTGTGTTTCTCTTACAGGTCAATAATCTAGTGGACTAAAGTATTTGTTCATGCATTCAATCCCAGTGTTATTTAGTACAGATTTAGACAGTGTAAAAGAGTGAGCAATAACTAAGAAGTACTAAATAGGAACAAGACAAGATCCCTAAAAATGGTCAGTGGAATGAGAACTGTTGTGGACACCATTACAAGTGTACAAAATATGGATCTAGTTTCTAATAGCAGGCTACAACAAAGAGGGAATGAGAATTAAATAACATTAAATATCAAATATATATATATATATATAAATAACATGTAGTTGTGGCCAAAAGGAGGCTCTATACATTTTAACCTATCGACAGTCAGTAGTAAAAAAGAGAGTTTCTGAATTGTCCACCAAGGTGAAAACAAGGTAGGCTGTCATTGACTCATCTATTGACCAATCAAAGGACTTGTTACATTCTGGTTACAGCAATGCTCTTAAAGAGACCTCTGAATTGGCCACTTACTTTATTTTCTTATGAGAGGCTGTTACAGAATAATCTGTCTCTGTAAATTATATAAAGGATTAATTTTAAAATTTCCTGTAGGTTACCCAGATCGATATACAACTGAAGTCAGTCTCTCTGTCACAATCTTTTTTTAACTTTAAAATAGTAAAATTACAAGATTGTCTTAAACTTTTCTCAATGATGGTAGGGTGAGAAATAACTAAGCAGTACTAAATAAGACCAAGATAAACTTAGACATGAGAAGTAGAGCAAGAACAATCTACCACCATAAATTAAATAAAGAGGTTCCGTTTCTAATTCTCTTTGGTGGAAACAGACATATAAATAGATTAAATAAATGGGCTCAGTTTCTAATTCTCTTTGGCTATTGATTGGTGGAAACAGACATATAAATAGATTAAATAAATGGGCTCAGTTTCTAATTCTCTTTGCCTATTGATTGGTGGAAACAGACATATAAATAGATTAAATAAATGGGCTCAGTTTCTAATTCTCTTTGGCTATTGATTGGTGGAAACAATAACTGAGGGTTTCTAAATAACTGGATGTGATATCCCTAGACATGTTCCATGTAATCAGAACAAATGAAACTCATGGATTAAATAAAGGGTTTGATTGATTGGTTACTTGCTTGGTTGATTTTCTTTAGTGGCATATCAACTACTATGTGTTATTTAATACCAGAATCTAAAAATTTTGTGCATAATTTTATACATTCAGTATAAAAGGTATGATTTTAAATATATAGATTGTAAATTATTGTATTGCTGATAATTTCACTTCAAAAATGTAATGTTGGTAATTTTTTTATAAAAAATGTATACTGGTAATTTTACAATAAAAATGTATTACTTGTCATTTTGCTATAAAAATGTATTGCTGGTCATTTTGCTATGAAAATGTATTGCTGGTCATTTTGCTATAAAAATGTACTATTGGTTTGTGTTTGGTGATTCACTATTTGCCCATAACTGGGAACCTAACAGGTGCTGCCACCCTGGGTTAGGGTAGACCTGGGAACAACAGCAATTAAGTGATGGTTGCATGCTTCTCAAAACCTCCAATCTCCTGATCCTTGCTGACAGATGTAGTTTATCATCATACCCAGGACAAATAAAGGGTTTGGAGATTCACTTAAGATTACTTGGATTGAGAGACATATGAAGAAGGTGAGAAGTCACAAGAGCTGAAATCTTAGGTATATATTTTGGAATATATATTTCTTAGAAAAGTGCAATAATAACATACAAAAGTATAACTTGTTTCTTCTATAAATTTTTACAAGTTCTTAATGAAGAAATCATAAAATATTTGAAGGAATATTTTACTTTGAATAGAATGCATTTAAAAATGTAAAATTTTGTTCAGTAAGGAAATAACACAACATTGAAAGCCCTTCATTTTCCAACAGGAGAAAAACTTACAGAACTCTGTTCTTATTTTTGTCTGAATTTCTGGAATTAAGAGTTAGCATTATTGATTCTCGTACTATTGATCTCATCATTGTTATTATCCCAATGTTTCAGCCATTGTGCCCTCCAGCCTCCATCAGGTGCTTGTCAATCCAGGTAACATTTAGAGAATTTTAACTGAACCCTTTATTTAATCTACATGAGTATATTGTTCTCATTCCAGCGACCATGTAGGGGGATATATTGTAGGTTGTATACATGTATATATTGTCTTTTTTATATATATGTATATATTGTATATATATATATATATATTGTATATATGTATATATTGTATATATGTATATATTATCTTTTTCTTAACAGAGCTAAATAAGAAACAAATAAAAAAATTTCCAAATATGGCCCTCAAAATGAGAACAATCTACCTCCAAAGATTAAATAAAGAGTAAAATAAAAATTCTCTGATGATGACTGGAAGGTACAATGGCCGAAATGCTGTAATACTAACCCCAAAATTGAGGACAATAGTCCACATATAAATAATGTAGATATCTTATTGTTGCAGCAATATTTTAAATAATTTTTATTTCTATGATTGCAACTCTATTTGAATGTTTATATAATTATTTTCTTATAGAAAAAAATAAGTGAATTTTTCTTGTAAATATTGGCCTTTGCATATTCCTATTTAAAATGAATTTGTTTAATAATGAAATGCTTGCTTTTAATTCCATCCTTTTCTGTATACTTTCATTTTAATCTATTCTAGTTAATAACTGTTCATTGATTTATATACTAACATATTGTATATAATTTCTTTATTCTATTTCAAATTACAATTTTCTCTTACTAAGGAAGTAATACTAAAGTACTGCAGTCAAAGTGAACAAACCTGTTCTTGTTTTTTTCTTACACATTTATTCCTAAATAAATTGTGTTTATTTATTTTTGCACATTAGTGCAGTGATTCCCAACCTTTTTTGCTTCATCGCCCACTTTCACATGGAAAAATTTTCCAATGCTCAGCTGTACGATAAATAATCAAAAGTATACCAAAATTGTTTGGTAGTAGTTTGTTACTGGTTCATAAACTGACTTTATGATGTAGTAAAACAAATACTAAAGGGAAGTAACAAATAGCATTGACTTATGTGGCAGCTGCTGCTACCATATTAATGAACAAACAAAAACAAACTTGCTCATTGAAAATTATAAATATAATTTTAAAATTAAAAATAATATACACTACTAGCAACTAAAAACAAATTTGGTGAATATTTTTTGTTGTTCTTGGTTCTTCTGATTTATATCCAAAAAAAATGTTATATCATCTGAAGAATCATTTGAATGTTAATGACTTTTCTAATAACTACAAAAAATACCAAAATATTACTTCTTCACAGTGATATTTATGCCTCATCTAGGAATGTGACCCAATTAGCCTCCTTTCCTTTTTTATTCAGGTTCTTTCTATATCCCCTTTAAATATTTTTGTGGGTAGCATAGGTTGAAATACCTTTTAATACTCAAAATCCTTTATCACACACCAAAATTTCCAGCCACCTACAATAGATGAAATCGTTCAGGTTGGGAAACCTGCATTAGATGGTAGTACATCACATCTATTTCTTTCCAATATATTTTATATCCAACTAAAATATTTATTGAATTATGAATGCCAACATTCATGAGTCAAACTGAAGCAAAGATGTAAGGTATGTCATAAAGGCAACTGATTGATTTATTTATTTTTTAAGACTTATCAACCTTTCATGGGTTATTTAAAGCCAAAACATATTTTGGATTGTAGGAGGTTGCTTACAGTACAAGCTGTCCCTCATCTAAGTACTGACCAGGCTTGATACTGCTTAACTTTGGTGATCAACTGATAATTGGTATTTTCAGCATGATTTGACCATATGCTATTAAAGAAGAATAGATTTAAAGAATAGAGAAAGAAAATATCTTAAGTAATAAATGGCCACACATGTTTACGGAAATATATCATATTTCTGGAGTACAATATATTTGATAGGATCAAATAGCTACAGATCCCATTACTGAAGTACAATATTTTAGATGCGCACAAATAGCTACAAATCCCATTTCTGAAGTACAATATTTTTGATGGGATCAAATAGCAACAAATCCCATTTCGGAAGTGCATATTTTAGATGGATACAATATTTTTATGAAGGGATTTCAAATAGCACAAATAGCTACAAATCCCATTTCTGAAGTACAATATTTTTGATGGGATCAAATAGCAACAAATCCCATTTCTGAAGTACAATATTTTTGTTGGGATCAAATAGCAACAAATCCCATTTCTGAAGTACAATATTTTGTTGATCAAATACAAATATTTCTACAAATTTTGATTTAGCTGAAGTACAATATTTTTGTTGGGATCAAATAGCAACAAATCCCATTTCTGAAGTACAATATTTTGATGGGATCAAATAGCTATAAATGCGATTTCTGAAGTACAATATTTTTGATGGGATCAAATAGCAACAAATCCCATTTCGGAAGTACAATATTTTTGATGGGATCAAATAGCAATAAATCCTAAGCATAATAATTTTTTCGATTTGCAATATTTTTAGATGGGATCAAATAGCTACAAATCTCATTTATGAAGTACTATATATCTGATAGGATCAAATAGCTATAAATCCTGTTTCTGAAGTACAATATATTTGATGGAATCAAATAGCTACAAATCCCAACTCACTGATTGGCATTGGACATCATGCAAAAGAAAAATAAAAGCATATAGCGTTGTGTGCCTTTTCATTCATTTGTGAATTAACAAATTATCAGTTAGCAAGAAGGTGAGGGATAATTTCTAAAAAGTATTTTCTCCCTCCAAAATTATTTAGGGAATTTTCCACGGAAAGTGTTCAAATTGTTATATTCCAAGCCAAATTTTATTGCATATCATAAACCCTTCTTCGCGGTCAGAAACTAGAGTAGCCAGCAGGTCATCTTGAGTTCACTGACTGGCAGACATAATGGCAAGCAGTCATGGGATAAGCTGTTAAGCTTTTTTCAAACAATTGGAAAGCACTGCAAGCGAAGGATGTGGATGCCTTCTCAATCCACCGCAGTGATATAAATACAATCCTGCATGCCATAAAAAGGGCATTCTCATCAGTGACTCATTGTCTCGCAAGAACATATTCCCTTGACAGTCAGACTGACCTACCACCCATCACTACTACTTCCAGACTTCTCACACACACATATATATATATATATATATATATATATATATATATATATATATATTTAAAAAAAAAACAGACCACTTTAAAGCTCCATTGTAATAGTTTATTTCACCAGAGACCTTTTTTAAAGGACGCTGGATCATCAGACATCACTTCCAAAAGGTGAAACAGAAAATGAAATGAAAATAAAATATATATATATATATATATATATATATATATACACCAAGTATAGGATTAGTGTATACAGAATAAATTCCAGTAACCAACAAATACTATTCTTAAAAAGAGTGCTCAATACAGAGTAGAGCAAATATAATCATTTATTGGAAAATTATAACAAAAATGTTATAAAGAATCACTATAAAAATGGCTATTTTGTTTAAAAGACTTCTGGTGAAGTCTTGAAACAAAATGGCTATTTTTAGTGATTTTATAACATTTTTATGTTAGAATTTTCAAATAAATGATTATATATATATATATATATATATATATATATATATATATATATATATATATATAAATTGTGTATGTGTGTGTGTATGTCCCTGTTCCCAGAAACTATTACACATGATGTCACATTAGACTATTTCAAACTTCCAGATTCCCAAAGAATACCAGAATGGAGACAAAGGAAATCTACCTGCCACTCAGACACCAAATTGGTTCTTGAAAATGGCTGTGATAGTCAAAATTACTTAAACAAAACAATAACAAAATATGAATTTTGGACAGTTTATTCACAATTTCAAATGCAATAATCAACACCTTATTCAAAAGTTTTGAATATATAATAAAAAATTAAATTGGACAAACCATGTCAGTTATTTTTAACCAAACTTGTTTGCGTATATATATATATATAGAGAGAGAGACAGACAGACAGAGAGAGACAGCAGACAAGCAAATGATGATTGGCCAATGCAAGTCTCATTGCCATTATGAAAGAAAGATCTACTGCCTGATTATTAATGCATTTTCTGTTATTAAAATCACATCGTGGAGCGAATTATGCAGAGAGGTGACCTGTTAACAGGTCAGGGTACCTGGCAGAACAGATCTGATGTTACAATACCTGAAATTCATAATGAAGAGAGGATAACATCGCTGATAACCTCTAACGTCATATTTTATAAAGGTATTTTAAAAATATATAATCTTACTAAATTAAATAAGCTCCATATATATATATATAGAGAAAGAGTTTTTTAATTTAATAATATTAATTACAGTATCAGAAATAATTACTGTTATTTGATATATATCTGTTAACTGAATACTTTTTCTTTTATAATGTCATGTACCTTCAGGCAGTGGACAATCATGGTTTTTCACAACTTCCCATCCCTTGTAGCTCTTAGCAATGGTTGTCTCTTTGCCATCCCTCCCACCCCTGTTCTACCATCCATTCATACTAATTTATCAGGTACGTGGACTGCTGCCTTCTTTTCCCTTTGGCCTTCAGTATGTCATTTGAGTGTCAAATTTTCCAAACCATCCTTCCTCATTATATGTCCAAACAATTTCAATTGTCTCTTTCTGATTCTGTGTATAAGTTCACTTTTTGTTTCTTTTTTTCTTAAGACTACTTTGTGGCTTGCACCATCTATCCATGGAATTCTCAGCATTCTTCTGTAGAATTTTGGAGTCTAGCAGAAATTAACATCTGAATGTCACACTTATTTCCATAGCCAAAAATAGACATTACATTAGGCTACTATAGAACTAATGAGAATCTCTCATTGGATCATAAAAAAATGCAAGAAGCCTCCTTTTCTTTTCTTTTTTTTTTTTTTTCCTCTTTCTGGGCATTGGTTGACCACTGTAGGAAGACATCACATGGATGTCTTCCAAAATACAGCTTTCACAGCCAGGAGACATTTGATCATACTGAAAAGAGAAATGGAAACTATTAAACATTTCATGCACAAACTACATTTCTACATTTCTTTCTTATTATTTGCTTGTTATAAATTGCTTTATGTGTAACACCCAAAGAATGGTTCAGTCCTATTTACTGGTTGTATCCCATCTTGTATGATTTGCCTTTCCCTCTAAATCTGCTTTCTATGACTACTAGGAATTTTGTGGGGGCAACAGACAGTAACATCACTTGTTACTTTCAGGCAACATGACCATGTGTCTTTGAATGTAGTTTAGGGATTTACCTTTAAAAGTTTCAGCTAAGAAAAGGATAAATCCCACAACAAATGGTGATCCTGATATGATATTCTCATAGTATTCTCACCATGCTTCTGTAGAATCACAGTGAGTAAATAAATGGCAAAACAAGAACCACAATGACAAAGAGAGGTCGTAAAGAGAAAAGAGTTACTTAGAGCAACAAAAGACAGGAAATTATGGAGAGCCATGATCAACCACAACAAGAATTAAAATATGTTTGAATCATTGTGATAAAAACAACAAAGATGAGAGTAATAGCCTGAATAGCATCCTTGTACAAATTAATGGAAACAATCGCTTTAGTTTCCTTTCTTTCTCCATATGGTCAGTTTTAGACCCACTGGAGTGATAGTGTAATCGATTTTTATTTTTCCTCAATTTAGGTCATCTGCAGTGGTGTGCAGTAATATGAATCCATTTTCAGGGTGTATGATGAAATTTGTTTGGCCTTGAAAAATATTGCATCATCCATGATTGCATCAGATTTTAATCACACCCAGACACTATTGTCTCAACTGTCAATTATTTGTCCTACAGCCATTATCTGTGATGGACATTACTCCAAGGAAGCATATGAAAATTTTAACTCTGCATGAACACACTGACAAGCCTTACCAGTGAGCAGATCAAAGTACTATAGACTGGCCCAGAAAATCTCCTAATTTAAATTCAATCAAGAATCTGTGGTCAATCTGCAAGGAACAACTTCATGGAATGGACATACAAAGTACTAACACGTGCACTGGTTCATGTTTCATTGGAAAAATACAAAAAAAGTAAATAATAACTGTTTTATTCATTTTGTTTTAATTAATTTACACAAGGGTGTATATAATGATATATTTCTATTGAAAACACAGCATTTTCTTTGTTTAATAAATGTTTTCATTATAAACATTTAATATGTCAAAGCAGTAGTTATTAATTTCACATTGGATTACTATAATTAATTATTAATTTCATATTGGATTACTATAATTGTTCTGTGTTTCTCTAAAAACTTTTAGAGATGAATTTAAAAGCAAATCAGGTAAGTATTGTTTGATAGCTTGACAATTGCAATTGACATGATAGGGCAGACACAAGAAAGTAGCTCCATAAACTTTCATTGAAATGTTCATCGCTCTCCACAATGACCTGTCCTTTGTAGCTCTTAATAAATTTTCTTTTTGCTATCTCTCCTAAATCCTGTTCTATCTATTTACACAAGCTCACTAGATAGGTTATATGTTGTTTTCAACTGTCCCTCCTGCCTTCAGTCTGTCCTGTAAGTATCAAATTTTCTAAGCCTTCTTTCCTCATTATGTGACCTAGAAATTTCTGCTGTCTCTTTCATGTATTTTTAATCCTTAATTCAGGACAAAAAGAAAAAAGCAACAACTTACATGGGGTCACTCTCTCGAGGTACTGCCAGCCTGGCCAAGAAGATCGGTTCAAAGCGTACAGGCCGCAGCTCATCATCATTTGAACGATCATCCCTTAATAGTTCTGATGGTAAGTACCCTATGCTATTTTTGTCCTCTCAGACATCTACAAAATGGCAGTTCAAAATTACAATAGCAAAAGGTGCTGAAGAGTTGTCAGTCCAACAAAGACAGAATTAAAAAAAAAATTCTAATTTTTAGTAATCTAGACTTTTGAAATAGTGTCAAACCAACTTCATTTCAGCATGCCCTCATACACCAAATTTGTTCAGAAATATCTAAACTGTCAGCTGTACACAATTGCTTTTGCAGATCAATGGTTAAAATTGCTTTGAGCAAATAAAGCATGTAGGTTTTATTAAAGAACATTATTCAAGCCTCATGGATTGGCACTACAGAATCACAAACAGTTACTGAACCTGAGAAAGCTATTTTCCTGGAAAATTGTTTTAATAGAAAGAGTTTATAAATTTCAATCAAAAATAGAACTTGCTGCTCAGTAAATTGGATGCCAAATGATTCCTTATAGGAAATAGCTAATATTACCATATATATATATATATATATATATATATATATATATATATATATATATATATATATATTTTATTGTTATACATGATTTATATATACACAAATATTTAAGTAAATGCTCTGTTTATAATAAACATCATTAACAAAATTTACCAGCCTAAACATCTGAAAAATTTTCATAGAAAATATGTGTCCTCCGACAGGATTCAAACCTGTATTCTACACAGAACCATCATATAGCTTAATGTTCTATTGATGGAATATTCCATACCTACCTGTCATCCCTCTGGGATAATGCATTTTTCACGCATAACCACCTCTTAACCAATCAGCATCTTAGTTTCATGTTATGTAGTGGTTTCACAGTGGAGGCTTGTATTTGTACTAAGTCAGTCCTAAAATAGGTGTGACATACAAAACGTTAGGAACTTGATATAATAGGTAATGACGCAGTAATCTAGTTGAGGTGGCTGATACTTTAATATCCGACTAACAGTCATTCGACATCGACTGACTTACTCTCACTCCGAGACTGATTCGTTACTTTTACTACTACTACTTATTATAGGTGGGAGAGTCTATTAACTATAGAATAGGTGTGTTCCACTATAACATTTCAGTAAACTAGGTTTTTCATTGGCTGAAACCTTAAAACTGTAGCAAGTTTGAGCAAAAATGCCTCCTCCCGCATACCGCTTTTGGAGCCGATTCTGAGACCACAAACTCACTAAATAGAAGCGTTTTGATTCAATTCAAACAGTCAGAACTTCATCCCTGGAGAGATGCTAAACAAATCCACACTAGTCAAAACTTTGACCTAACTACACTTTTTGCACGCTAATTCTTCTGACTCAACAAACAGCACTTTGCTCTCTCAGGAACATTAATTACAGCATACTAAAGAAAGTGAATTGACCCACTACTAAATAGTATTTGTAAATCTCAAGACAACAGCTAAAGTTACACAACTCTTACAAACTTTGAACAGTAACTTTAACAAACGCACACATACACACTAGTGACTGAACTCCCACAAAAGATCTTGTTTAATTTAAATTTCAAATCCTAACCATAAGCCTACACACATTGAAACTCAGCATAATCCTTCTACATATTTTATTACAACTAGTCGCACTTGATCAGCAATATCTATCTTGATTGTGTATGTTCAATTGATATAAAATGAATGTTATTTGTTAAACCTTTAATCACGTTGTCCTCATTTTTGATTCCTCCTGAATGATTTTACCTTCAATGTTCTTATTTTTATATTTGTTGTGGATGAATGTCTTGTGAACACCTACATTTCTAAGCCTTCTGATAACCTAACCTTCTGATACACAAAATATATTCACCAATCTGCAACACTATATCAGTTTAGCTACAAAGGAGTGTCTGGTTAGCAAGGTCAATTTTACTGCTTTTAAACTACAAATTTACCATATTTTCTATGAAATTTCTCAGACGTTCAGGCCAGTAAATGTTAATACTGTTTACTATAAACAGAGCATTTACTTAAATATTTGTGTATATATAAATAATGTATAACAATAAAATATATTAAAATAATTGTCAGACTTTGTCCATTTCATAGTGTATGATGTCACATATATATATATATATATATATCATTGATTGGTGATGAGATATATATATATATATATCATTGATTGGTGATGAGACAGCAGATTTTTATTATTTTAATTATTAGTAGTGAAAGGTTTAAATTTGATTGTGTTAGATGCTATTTAAGAGATTTAGGCATGTTTCAACTGAGACCTTGGTGTAAAGGGATTTTATATCTAACTGGCTATGACTTTGTCAGTCATGTTCATTTCTCTGAGTTTTTCCACTAGACTGCCTGAAGAGAGAGGGAGCTGTATATTTGGGAAGCAGTTCTTCTTTGATACATGTCTTTTGAAGAAGAATGACAAGATACTTTTGTTTAGTTTTTAATTATATTTTCATGTATATGTACAAGTGTCTTCTGCTATTATGAGAAATAACACCTCACCAATGAAATCAAAACTGTACCTGACCAACATTATTTTCTGACTTTAGACATTACATTCTCAAGAACGTGATTCACTTTCTTTCTAAAATGTTCTCTCTTTTTCCAGAATCCCTTCAGAAAGTGACTCGATGGCCATCTCCTGGTAAAAGTGATGGAAGCAGACGTGGAATTAGCAGTGGTGGAATCGGTGAAGAACTAAGTGGAAGTGGTTCTTCTCTGGAAAAAAGAAGTGGCCATTCATCATCTCGATTCAAAAAAATATCAAGCAAACTGAACATGAAATTTAAGTAAAACACAAAATTACTCGATATTGAGAAAGAGAAAATGTGACAAAATTCTGTTGAGAGGATAGAAATTCTTGAATATATCAATTTACATCATAATATAAATGCTGGGTTTTACCTTTGAAAAGGTAAAAATACAAAAAAGCATAAAAATCATTTTGTTACCATGATATATGTATATATAAAATTACAGTGAACTCATATAAAGTCTGTGTTTGCTAAAACATATATGTATATCACAAACCATATCTTTGGACTATAACTCGTTCAATTGTCTACCTTACAAAGTCATTATTTATTTATATTTTAAATAAAAGAAATGTCTTTGTGCATGAACAGTCAGAGCCAGAGTTGAGTCAAAATTTTGATGCCTGGTAAGATCCGAAGATCCCATGGCAGCCATCAGACTCAAGAAAGCAGGAGGTGAATGAAATTTCTAAAAATGATTTATTGATGAAAATGGAGGAAAAAATTGTGACATTTTTATCCCTTAAACTATGACTAAGTTATGTTATTGAAAATCAAATGCAAAAAGGCATAATCATCAGATAACAATCTTGCCTACAGATGAAAAGGAAAATGTCATCAAACCATTAACTTACAGAAAAAACAAAAACATTTTTGATTGATAAATATTAATGCTCATCAAAAACGAAATTGGCCAATGAGATGCTAGATTTGGTCTCCAGTACAAAGTAAATGGAAAAAGATATTAGTTCTGACTCTTTATTTTTTTTTTGTTGTTGTTGTTACTGTTGTTTTGTTTTTGTTTTCTTCTTTGTTTATTGTTATTGTTTTGTATGGAGACTATAAGAAAAAAGATCAGATCAGAACATTTAACTAAAAGAAATCAAAGAAATTTAAAAAAAAAACAAAAAAAAAAACGTACACATATACACACACAGTCAAAAGAACTTGAGGAAAGGCTTCTTTCCTGTCAGCATTTCACTATTTATTTGATAGAAGACGACCACCACAATGGCTGGCGACAAATATAATAAAAAATGAAAAACAAACTGAAAAAAAGAAACTCCATCAAAGTGATGTTTGGAGAATGTCATTCAGCTTTGAGACACGTGACGACAAAACCAAAAGAAATAAAGAGGGGAAATGGATGTGGAAAGCCCACCTGAATAATAGGTGAGGTGGAATAACACAGATCAACATAAAAAGAAAAAAAAAATCTTGCAATGTAAAATACATCCGAATAAACTTAAAGGTTACCTCTATGAGCATGTAATATATGATGTGCCATGCGTATTGCTCACATGACTTGGTTTCACCCATCAATGGGTGAATTATGTACTTCTCTGTATAAGTTATACTAATATGTACATATGTATGCATGAGTGAATGAATGAAATTGCTTATATAGATATGTGTGATATCAATCAATGAATGCTGGTATTAGGATTTAGTTAACATATATGTATACATCTGAATACACACACACATGTCTATAGAAATGTTTACAGGTTTTTTTTTATCACTTTAAGGTTAATGTTTGGACTGAAACCATTATCAGTTAAAAAAATAATTATAAAAAAATACTTTTAAGATTAAAAGGACTTAGAATTTAATTGGTCACTACAAATGTAGATGCACTAGAGTAAAAAAAAGATATTTGTTTTCAACAATTCCCTTACAGAGCAATTCCGGATTTACATTACCTATTACAAAAGTGTTTCAAAATGATACTTTGTAAAAAATATGTATATACATACTCATGTTGGTAAGTATGTATGTATAAAAAGATAAGTCTTGATACTATGACAATGAAAAGCCAGAGGATGTTCAAAATGTGATGGTAGCAAGCATTTAAAGGTATTTGTTGCACTTGAATTTCTTACTTGAGTTTATTTGCCTGTATTCAAGGTATCACAAAAAAGGCAAAACTCTGAGTTTTACGAACATAACAAAGGCTTTTCCAATTTCTCTTTTGTTTTTAGAAGAGCAGGATGCGGAGGTTGGAGTGCTCCCTTAACAAAATTTCCATAAAAAAAAAATATATTGAACAAAAAGGTACATTCAGGGTATCCCCATATGATAAAATGAAAAGAAAGGAAAATTTAAATAAATATGTATATTTCAAATGAAATGCAACTGTTGATTTTTACCCTCCTCTGTCATAAATGCTACTCCTCACACTTGAGTATAGTAAGGGTGAGGAGGAGAAGTAGGTGGAGGAAAGAAATAAAAAACAGTGTCATGTGATGATTTTAAAAAACAAAAAATATCAATTCATTCATTGGTCAGAAATTTTTTTTTTTTTTTCCAGTTTAGAAAATTATTATTCTTTAAAATATTTGCAATATATGCCATGAAAAATATTTTAAATATTTGATATATGTAATTATGAGAAAGTAGACAAAAACAAACAAAAGAACAATAGACAACAGTATTTCAATAATCAATGAATCAATCAATGAAAGAGACTTTAATATAAATATATATATATATATATATATATACATATATATTTGAATGTGTGTGATTATATCTATACTTATTTTGATTCTAAACACATTGAAACTCAATGCTTCCCTGAATCCCCTCAAAATCCCCTCTACTGTTTGTCTCCGGTTCAGTTACATGCACTTTAGCTTAGTAAACTAACAACCACAGTCACTCTACAGTTTTTGGGGAGGGGGTGGAATTTGGTATTCCGGAATATATGTGACCAAATATGAGTGTCAGGGCAAAAGTGATTGTTTTGTATGAATTTTTATGATAATGGGTAAAAGTAATGTCTTTTAAAAGATAATGCTTTTAACTTTTTAAGTATATCCTCCCAAAATAGACATAAAGAAAAAAAACCAAGACTGGACAGAAATGTCTGAAAGATTTTTTTATGGTGTTTCCAAATTCATGCATACAGGAATAATAATAACTGAAAAAAGAAAAATGGCAGTATTTCATTTGAACAATATGAAGTATCAATATTATACCTACAATTTTTTATATATATATATATATATATATATATGTGTGTGTGTGTGTGTAGGATGTTCCAAAAGTATGTTTACACTTTTAAGATTTTAAATGTGTTTTATTGAAAAACAAATGGCTAATTTATTTTTTGTTTTTGTTTTAAAATCTGTACACTCAAATAATGAAATCCTGGTTAATTTTATCAAATTGTTTCCTATCATGGCTCTCATATTTTTGTCACCAATCTCCAACTCTGAAAGACATTCTTGCAAAGATTTTTGTTATCATCAATTTCTTAAAAGCACCAATGAAAAAATTCTTTTTTTTCCTGCATATTGTGACAAATATAATTCATTGTGGAATAAACTAATTTATTCTAAAATAAAATACATTTAAGAAAGTGTAAACTTGTTTGGGGCCACAATGTATACATATATATAAACAAATACACACACACACACACACACACACACACACACACACACATATATATATATATATATATATATATATGAGAGAGAGAGAGAGAGACTTGTTTGCACATGTACTGACAGCAATTTGTGATCCATATGTGAAGAGAAAAGGTATTAAACTATAGAATAAATAAGCATTGACGTTTTTTTAAACAAAAACAGGATTTTAGATAAAAAAATCTTTTTGCAAAAAAATTTCAATGAAATTTTTTTTTCTTTTTTGTAATTTTAAAACACCATAAACATAAAAAAAAAAACTAAATTTAAAAATCTTTCCATGGGTTAAAAATCAGTTTTTATTGTTTATCTTCTCCTCTGGTGGAAAGAAAATAATTTACTGAAAAATAACAAAAATAATTTAAAAATTCAAATCAATTCACTCTTCCTTCACCAAAATAAAAGGAGGAAGAAAATTCTCTCCTTTTTTTTTTTTTTTTTGGTTATTTAATAAACAATCCTGATTAATATTTTATTTGGATAAAAAAAGAACCTGAAAACCAAAAAGTTAACAATTCTGTCTCATTTCAGAAGTGAGTTGCTTACTCCAATCTAACAAAATAAGAGCTCAATGGAAAAATGAAAAAAAATTCCCACAAATGTGAGGATACTCATTGGACTCACAAATATATCACAGATGTTATTAATTGTAGTGTACACAAATATCAAGACCAAATGCATGCATCAAGCATTATACTATAAGTCAACCCTATAATCATGACATTTTATTTGCTTGAAAGTGTCATAGAAATGAAAAAAAAAATATACTGACTTTTTTTATCTGAGCTCATATTCTAACAAATATATTATTGAAAAATTCTAAAAAATGTTCACCCTCTTTCAAACTACATATAATATCAATGAACTTCACTAAGAAATATAACATCAAAGGTGCCTGTTATGATTACCAAATCCATCTTGCAATCTAATTCAGAAATTAGTGAGTTCAATTCTCGCCAAATGACCCATTATAGCTTTTTTGTGAAACTAAGCTGAACATAGTTATAACATACTTAGCTGAAAGCGATGGTGATCAAGCAAGTCAAACAGATGATTCACTAGTGTTGAGAGTTCAATTCTTATCAATGCCCAATTATTGTGGAATTGTGACTAAGTTGAATAAATATCCATTATAACAGCAAAAATCAAATTTGAAAGAAAGCTGGAAGCAAATAACAGAAGTCTTCTTTTATATATATATATATATATATATATATATAATCATTTGTTCGAAAATTATAACATAAAAATTTTTATGTTATAACTTATAATGTTATAACATAAAACATTTTTATGTTATAATTTTTGAATAAATGATTATATTTGCTCTACTCTGTATTGAGCACTCTTTTAAGAATAGTATTTGTTGGTTATTAGAATTTATTCCATATACACCAATCCTATACTTGGATATATATATATATATATATATATATATATATATATATTGAAGTGTACAATTTATCCAAAGTAAATGTTGGCAGCTATAAAGCCACTAATTTTTTTTTTTATTTTTTGTTTCTCAAATAACATAAAAACCAACGGTGAAAAGTAAATATAGAAGGTATTGTGAGAAAATTAGTTGTCTGTCTCTTGAAATGCCAACTCACACCTCTCTGATGTTTAATGTTAAGAATTTCTCTGATAATGATTTCATGATCATTTTGATTAATATATATCACCATTTTAAGTAAACATTTGTCAGACTATCTCACTTTTGTTTTCTATAAACTTAAATAGACTATCAGTGTCTCTGAAATGTTAAAAAAGAGAAAGAGATAGGTAAAATTAAAAACCTTGATAATTCTATTTGCATATATACCCAGTACTGAAGATATATTTTCACTTTTACTTAATTATTCTTTGTATATGACATTGTCATATGCATCA